CTCCCATTCCTAACTCACCGAGTCGCCGCAGCATGATACCGTGGTCCACAGTATCAAAAGCCGCTGAGAGGTCCAAAAGAACAAGGACAGAGGAATAACCCCTGTCCCGGGCCCTCCAGAGATCATTGACCAACGTGACCAATGCCGTTTCCGTGCTGTGTCCCGGCCTGAAGCCCGACTGGTATGGGTCTAGATAGACCCATACCAGTTGTATCCATTCCCCTCTGTTGAGAGGGGGCTGTTCAATCTTGACACAGATGGCCTCTTTGACCCCTTTCAAAGCAGTGGTCCTCTCTGTCCAAAATGTGGACTTTGCTGTCTTCAAAAGAGCGGCCTTTGTCTTTTAAATGCAGGTGGACTGCTGAATCTTATCCTGATGTGTTTGTTCTCCTATGTTGTGCCCTGTGTTTGTGAAATGGTTGTTTTGTTTCCCCAATGTATAGATCTGTACATGGCTCACTGCATTGTATGGCATCTACCACATTGGGTGTTTTATCCTTGGGGTGGACAACCTTCTGCCTTAGTGTATTTGTGGGTTTGAAGTGTGCACGTATATTGTGTTGGCTGAAGATCCTCTTGACAAAGACAAAGGCCATCTATGTCAAAATTGAACAGCCCTCTCTCAACAGAGGGGGAGGGATATGACATCATCTATCTCCAGTCTACAACACAGTCCTTTAGCAGTTCCAAGAAGGCTCCACACCCATCTGCACCACTCAGGTGACCTGAGGACACAGATAAGCCTCCAAGTGGCCTCAACGACTCTCTCAAAGGATGCAAATAACCAGCTGTCTGCAAGGAGTATCAATCCTTCCATTCCCCACCATCCAGTCAGAGCTGAAGAAGCTTCTTGGATGAGAAGTGAAACGTCTTCTAAGAAAAACAAGAAAGTCCAGTTGCCTTGTGTTAAAAACACCCTTGGGATAACTATGATCTGGATGACTGAGAATCTCCATAGACAATGAATCAAACAATAAACAATATTAATCAGATGTGAAAATTAAACAATAGAAATTGATTTTAGATAATTGTTCACAAATGGCTAATTTATGGATTGCATCACCCCCATTTACTGGTCAAGTTTATATCTTTCTTAACACAGATAATCCTTGACTTACGACTATAGCTGGGACCAGAATTTTCATTGCTAAGCAAGGCGGTTATTACGTAAATTGCAAGCAATTTTATGACTTCAATTCCTATTCAAAGCTAACAGTTCTAAAGGGTTTCTAGACAGAGCAGGATTATCTTCTTGCAATAATCAAGCTTGTGTCCCCAGAGGCCCTTCCTCTAGAACCCTGTGGCCTGCTTGCCCTGGGAGGCCAGCGTACACTTGCCCAGGTGAAGGGAGAGGACCAGACTTGCAACCGAGGGGTGAGTGACCCCTGTCTAAGAAATGATTTCTGTTGATCCAAATTCTGAAGTCCCTGTGTGGCTGAAGAGGTTATAGCTCAGCATGTCCTTTCTCTTTGGCCACCTTTTCGGGCAGGATCTTGGTCCAGAAGCCGACAGCTTTCTCTTTCAGTTTTCTTGCCACCTTTTGCTTTATGCCTATTTCCAGATACGGCTCACTCAAGTCATACCTGGGCCAGGTCACCAAGCCAGCTCCGTTAGGGTTCCTAGAAACCATTGCAAATGGCCAGTTAGTTCACGGAATCGGTTTGGACTGTTAAATCTGCATTTGGATAAATAGCAAAGGTGGGAAGTTTTTTTCTCTCAGGATCACCAAGATAATCTCTTCCTCACTTTCACAAATAGAGCTTTATCATTTTTTCAAACAATAATGAAATATTCTAGAAACACTTGAAAAATTTCTCAGAGGCATCTGCTGGAAACATACTGCACACTTTTCTCCCCAGGCTAACAACCTCTATACGACCAGCCTCACTGCTGAAGTCTGGGAACTCTGGTGACCTGGGAGGTGATGGGTCTCCCCTAGGAGACAGTTTGGAGGGGGACACTCTTCCTAGCTATTAAGTCCCAACTTACACCAGTTGCAGAGTTCACCTGAGTAGTAAACCTATGGACATGTGCAAACCCTCTGACTTACCCACTGCGAGCAAAATTAGCCCAGTATTTCATAACCGCTCTGCTGAGCACTGTATCTTCTTCTGTTGCATTGTCTGCAGGCAGGAATATAAGGATGGTGTCAGTAAAAGAATTACAGATTTGGATTGTTTAAAAGATAAAAAATAAAATCCAGAAGTTATATCAACACCTTGAGAATCTCAGTAAAATGCAACTTGTTGCCAGGAGTCGGTGGCATGTATTATTATTATTATTATTTCATCAGACTCCTATCTAGAGATTCCTATCTATTCAGAAGGGAATACCTGGAGCCCAGTCAGAAACCAGCCTGGTCAAATCTATTTATGAGTTAAGAAATAACCAACTAACTGGGAGAAATTGAATCAGAACAGAGCTGGAAGGAACCTTGGAGGTCTTCTAGTCTAGCCCCCTGCTCAAGCAGGAGACCCTGTACCATTTCAGACTTGATTGCTATTCGGGGAGTGAATCTCAGCCAGAGATGTCCTCCATCTGCATCAAAAGAAAATTTCAATAACAATGAAAAATATGAATTCCACAGCCAAATTCTTTTTTGATGAGAAACAGCTGGTGAATTTTGGGCATAGTTTCAAACCAGCATTTTGTGCTTGTCTAGCTGGCATTCCATGCAGCCCTCATTTCTCTAGTTCTCGACTGACAACAGTTCATTTAGTGACCATTCAAAGTTACAACGGCACTGAAAAAAGTAACTTACGACCATTTTTCACACTTATGACCGTGGCAACCTCCCCAGGGTCACATGATCGACATTCAGAGGATTGGCAACTGACTCACATTTACGACGGTCGCAGAGTCCTGGGGTCCCCTTTTGCGACTTTCTGACAAGCAAAGTCAATGGGGGGAAGCCAGATTCACTTAACTGTGCTAACAACGACTGCGTGATTCACATAACAACTGGGGCAGGAAAAGTCATAAAATGGGACAAAACTAACTTAACAAATGTTTTGCTTAGCAATAGAAATGTTGGGCTGCATTGTGTTCATAAGTCAAGGACTCCCTGTAGTTAGATTCATCATCATGAATTATTTTCATCCAGTATTGTGCCAAAATCAAGATACTTCAGGTGTGCCAAGTCTCACAGTAGTTTAGTCTAGCAAAAAAGCCCAATCCTGTAAAAACACTCAATAACAAGTGTTAATTCATTTAAACTTAATGTAATTTAATTACATTTAACTTCTCCCTGCATTATTTTTACTACATTATGGCAAAGATGAGGAGGAAAAAAGCAACACCACACAGCATTTTGAGTCCCTGCCAGGAAGAGACAAAGGGATTTCTATGGGCCAATTGTCTTCCATGAGCCCAGGCTAGTGGTACCCACACACCAGTTCCGGACAACGTAAGTACACAAATTAGCAAGCTACAGGCAGTGAGAGGCAGTGGCAAAAAAAGGTTGCATTGTTACCTGCTAGGCATTTCACTAATAATACCACAAGGTATGATTACATGGTGTAGCATTACACAAACATCTATTCCCATCCTGGCTGAAATTATTCTTGACTCAGAATCACTGAATTGGATTGTTAATTCCATTCGCCCCCCTCATTAGACAGGAATCGCCCCAGCCACAGCTTCAGCACATCCAGGACTTCTCAGGTCCTTGGTTCCATTTTCAAATTGGCTCTTGCCAAATTCTCATTTCCAAAATTCTGTCCTAAGACTTCTGCTTGTCCTCCGAAACCCCGGAGAACAGACCTTGGCATTCCTTGGCTGCCCACTGGGTCGTTGCAGACACCATCAGGCCTCGCTTTTCAAGGCCAAATAACCGTCTGACAAGGACCTAGTTTCCTGATCATCATCACTTTTGGTTTCCTTCATCAACCTGGTTTCCTTTGGCTCATATTGACAAGGTTGGCCTGCTAATAAGTTGCAGACGGAACGAAAGTAGTAAGTCACTGCTGAGAACGAACAAAACGTGGTGGCCTTTCAGCAGGAATGTGCCCACCACATTCAGGTTGGACCAGTGCTTAATTCCTGGAGTGCTCCAGACTCACCTGTGAAGAAGGGCTTTCCAAAGACAAAGGCTATTTCATCCCCATGATCCACTTTAGAAAAGTCTGGCCTAAGGCTGCCGTGTGCCCTCGAGTGATGCTGCAATTCATAAACATAGGTCGGATAGCCAGCATCTGAAAAGACAAGAACGTGGCACAGAGGTACCATCTCTTATTCTCCAGGATTTGCTCCACAACAGCCAAGCATTCTCGCCAGTCCTCAGAAATGCCATTCTGGGTGATGGGGAATGAGGCTGCAGGTAGAGAGACGGTGTGGATGCAGGGAGCCTATGGACAGAAATGGTTGTGTCAGAGCCCCCGCTTTGCCCTCCTGTATCTGTGCATTTTGGGGGATGGTTTCCTGCTGGCGAACGACTGCCAGAAAATTGGAGGGCAGCAAATTCCGAAAGCCTCTCCAGAGGTTTTATTTTATCCTCTCTGCACAGCTTCAGAATAGCGGTGAGATGCAGGGCAGGCCTGGGCCATGGCAACAGCACATTTTAGGCCAGTATTGGAGAAGAGAGCCCCTCCCCTTCCCTCTCCACCCAAACTATAGCATACCTTTGAGTTGTGGTTTTGAGAACATTGCTAGCATTTTTAAAATGTTTGTTTATTTCCACAATGCTATTAGCTCAGGCAGAAATGACGAACTCTCTGCTGGAAACCTGCAGATGGTCCCAGGCAAGCTGCAGGCAGTCCTCAACTTACAACTGTTCACTTAATGATGGTTCTAAGTTACAATGGCCTTGGAAAACATGGCTTGTCTTTGCACTTCTGACCATTGTGCCACCCCTGCGGCCACGTGGGTCCTTGGCAACCCACTCGCATCTACAGCCATTCGGGGCATCTTGCAATCCCGTGATCAGGACTAGCAACCTTTACGGCTGGTTTCTGGCAAGCAAGGTCAGTTGGGGAAGCTGGGTTTGCATAACGACCACAGTAAAAATGGTCATAAAATTGGGTCCGGTAACATGAAGACTCACTTTATGAACTGCACCAACTTACAAGGGAAATTCCAGCACCATCTGTGATTGCAAGTCAAGGACTACCTAGGAAATGTTGCTGCCGGCCGGTTCTTGTGACTTTGCAGCTGGCCGGCTGGAGGGACGGAGGAATTCCTTCAAAGAGGGGACCTTCGCCCCGGAGCCCGCTAAGGCTGCTCCAACCCATCTGGTTCCAGTAGCAACTGACCTCAGTGGTGCCTGGCAGTCAGAATGCCTGGAGCGGTGAACACGGCATCACTCAGTAAAGCCAGGAGTTGATCTCTGAGCTGCAGCGGGTCCTGGAGATCCTGGAGATATTCATCGGCAACCAGAGGAAGATCCTGAGCAGCAACTCCCTGCAACAGCCAAAGAAAGGTGGGCTATCACTATTGCAGCCACACTGGCTTTCAGGTTTCCAAGGACAGCTTCCTGGAAAGCATAGCTGTCGAGAGAACTGCTTTTGTCAGCATTCTGCAAAACCAAGAGAAAACTAGATGAACGAGAGAATCGTAGTGAGCGTCAAGGACCAAACTCATCACCTGTTCCCGTCTTTCCCTAATGGGCCTGGCTCCCTCCCTGCTCCCCAGGCTAGACGTCCTCAGGAGCTGCTCCTCTCCTAGTATGGTTGGGCACAAAGCCCCTCGAAATCCGTTGCCCCCATGGCTGAATTCCAGGGAATCCGAGTGAAAGCAGGCATGTTTGAGGCTGGTGATGAATTCAGCCATACAGAGAACGTCCTCTTACTGTGAGTTGCTCTGTGCTGCGTAGCAGAAGGTTCACAGTGTCCTTGTCAAGTCCCTTCATGAAGTCTGGAAACTGGAGAAGCTAGACAGAGTAAAACCAAATGGTTAATTTTGAGTGCAGTCAGGAGAGCAGACCTAAAAAGGCAGCGGCAGACCTTCATCAACAAAGGGAAAACGCCCACCTGAGGAATAATCCACCCAAATTCATCTTTATTGACCCCAATGATGCATGGAACATTATGGAAGTTTTTTTCTGCTAAGAGCTTCCTGGGACTCTTCGGAAAAAAATGACCATCAACAACTGCCGGGAACAAGACAACATGCTGGAGAGAAAAAAGAAATCAGTTTAACATCCTTTAAAATATTATTTTCAAGGAAAGCACAATAAACCCCTCCTAAGTTATGGTCAATAAAAATGGGAGAACATTATTAATTTCTGTATACAATGACAGTTTTAAAATGTTGTAACTGGTTGATGGAGTTTGATTTCATTGGCACCCTGGGATTCCCCGGAAAAGGGGGGGGGAACATCACCACCCCTCTTTTAGCTCTGCTTGAGGGGATGCAGCTGGGGGAGTTGATGCTTCTCTGGACTGCTAGACTGGGCAGGATTTAGGGGGGGGGAGGGGGGGCATGTGAAGATGTGTCAGGCATGTTAAGACCAGACAGCAATTCTATTGACCTTTCTCACCAGGCCCTGCAGGCACTCCTGATCTGGACACTCCCCAGCCATGATTCCCCCAAAGGGGCTTAGATCTTCAAAGGGGGCCTGAAACAAAGCACCAGTTTGGCCACAGCCTTGGAAGCAAAGGCTGCTCTGCAACACCACGAGGCAAGAAAGGCAGAGGGAAATTTGGCAAATCCACGGAGAAAACTCCTCTGCTTCTCACTGGACGGAAGAAGCTGGCCAAGAAAAAGCCAGGCCAACGTCTGAGCCTCCCCTGAATAGGAGATGCCCGCATCCGCTTGACTCTGCCCTCTCTGGCCAGGCGGAGGGGGGCTGGTCCTGCAAGGGAGAGCAGCTCCTGCCATAGAAAAAGCTCCCCTGGATTTGGGAACAATATGCACTGTCAATGTTGTTATTCAGTCGCCTCCCCTCAGCTGATTTCTTGAAAAGCATTTCCGCCTCTCCCGTTCTGGTGAAAAGGAGATTTCTAGGTTTGGTCTACTTTAGATTTGCTAGGAGCATCTTCTTGATGGAGGAGGTCTATCGTCCCGTTGCTCCCGGCCTCCCTTCGGTGAGGCAAGTGCTCGACTCACCTGTTCTTCTCCACCCAGAAGCAGCCGGGTAAAATCCTGCAATCCCAGTAGGAAGCAGGTCAGTGGAGGGTGAAGAGCTCCAGGGGAAGATCCTGCATCAGCCTTGTGGAAAATAATAGGAGCGCCTCCTCTGTCTACACTTTATAATCACTATACATAATCTAGAAAAAGTATGATTCTCAATTGACTGAATGACATGAGATGATTTTGAACATAATTCCACTGCCCCCGCCCCCACCAGAACCACAACAGCTACAGCCATGGACCCCCCCCCCAAACTGTCCTTGATAAAGAAATGGGCAGCAATGAGGTCTGCTGGGTCTTCTGCCACCCAGCTGGGTCTTCATTCAGAGGTTACGGGTGCTATCAGGAAAGGGCTCCGGGGTCTTTTCGCAAGGCCATCTTGGTGCCCCTGGTGTGTGATGGGAGCTTCACAGAGCATACACAGGAGACGAGTGGGGCTTCTAAGCACCATTGTGACCACCATCTGCTGGCCACACCCGGCAGACCAGCTCATAGTTTGACAAGATGAGGACCAACCCCTCACTCTTCCTCTCTATAAAGGACCACAATGTATTGCAGGGGCCTCCTTACCATCTTCAGAGTAGCCAATAAGATTTCACTCTCTGTTTTCCCCCTGAGGCAACGAACCATCTCAGCGGAACTGGATGTAGGGCAGCTAATCGATTCAGCAATTTTCTGCAATCCAGACCAACAATTCAGTTTTAATAATAAGAAGCAGGTCATCCTGCAATAGTTCCTCATCCAGCGTTTGGAAGATTGAAAGTGCCGGATGTCTTTTAAGGAAGAGGGAGGGAGGCTGTTCTGGCTGCCTATCTGAACTGGGCTCAAAGCCAATGAAGTAAAATGATTTAAAAGCATGCTTCATTGTATTTGTATTCCAACAGTAAGCTTGAAACAAATAATTCTGCAGGTGTTTAGAAACATCTGGCTGAAGATGATATCAGACAGCTAATGGACACGTAATGGAGCAGGCGCACATATTGCGTCTCCAACTCTCCAGTGGCCCTAGGGAACAGCTAGGGCACCCCAGCTGCTTTGCTCCAGAAAACCCTTGGGAGGCCAGGGGAACCCCCTTCTCCTACATGTCTTCTTCCTCTTTTCATCTTCCCTCGGAGAAAAGATTCCCAGATCCAGAGCAATTACTGCCTTGCTCTTCCAAACCTCACCTTAGCCAGCTTTTCTGGATGGGCATTGAGCAGCAAGTTAGTTATGGCAACACCACTTTCCGAAATCGCTTTGTGGAACAAACCTTTGGACAGAGGGGATAACACCTGGCCAGGGAGGAAAGCAAGAGTCACTTTTTTCAATCAACCCATTGCATCACCCAATAACTGTACTGATATTGCCCTGATTGTATTTGGCAAAAGGTTATCAAATCAATTTGCTTCAAGTGTTAACTATACAAAAAGCCCTGCAATGCCAGAGTCACTCATTCACACGTTACTTTTTAAAGTCTTTACAATTCATTCATGTCAGGTCCCCAAAGAAATTGTCTTTTAATTTTATTTTAATATTTGTAGCTTTCCTATGTGGCCTGCCATTTTGTTGGGAGGGGGGAGCTTTTGGGAATGCTTTGCACTGTCTGCCTTGTTGCCCTTCCCCCCCTCCCCAGGGGATGGAATGTCTCACCCTTATCTGATAGGCCTTTGCGCTTGGAGCAAAAGTGAGAAAGACCTTGAGGAGCCCACGGTTACCAAAACAGGATGCCACCTGTGGATTGGCTGGGATTCAAATGAACACTGGGACTCTGGGGGGTAGGAGTATTGAATGCTACTTTTAATATATTGCTTCCTGGGTTTTTCTCTCAGATCTCGCCTTGATTCCCTGCTGTCACTAGCCCCTAATAAAAGTTTCCTTTTGAGACAATAAGGGTTTTGCTTTCTTGGGTGGCTTAACTGAGGTAGGTCCTTACATTCATGCTTTGTTAATCTACGAAAAGTTGCATTTTAAATTATGCTCTTAGCATTGCTGCATTGAATTCCTATTGTTAATACAAGCAAGAAGTTGTTATACAATACATAATAATTTACAACTGTCAGTTGCCACCTTAGGCTTGCTTGTGCTCCACTGCTATGCGGTGACAGACTGCCATGAACCGTGGGTAGGGGGGAATGAAGGGGGCAAATGCTTGGGGAAACGAAAGTAAGTGCTGTATCTCCCCAAGATGCTGCCTCAAGGTAACCCAGCTGGAAGAAGGAGGGGCCGCATACCAAACTACACCTGGACTGACCGTTGGGAAAACATCCTGCCTGAACCGGACTGGTTGCACTGGAGGGAGCAATGAGAGACTGTTAAGGGAGGGAAATGTAGAACTTGGGGATTTTCAGTTCTGACTTTGCAATACTGCCATTCACTTGATCGCTAATAAAACTATATCTTTCTCAACAAAGGGAGCCAAGGATCGTTCCTATTTAGACTTTTGTGGCAGACCTGACAGTAACCTTGTCTCAAGCCATTACAGATAGGCCAAAAATTATGGGAATTACTAGAAATGAAATAGGACATGAACTTACATGGGCAGAAGAGCTGAATCCACCTGCTGAATTCCCAAATACGGTAACTGATCCTGGATTACCCCCAAAGTTTGCAATGTTCTCCTGGATCCACTGCAGAGCTGCCACTTGATCCAGCAGGCCCCAGTTCCCTCGAGCATGCTCATCTCCAGTGCTGGGGGAGAAGGAGAAGCAAGGAAATATGGATCCAGAGGAGATCCAGGCATTCTGCAGCCAGACCATTCTCCCTTTTGCCCTTCCAACATTCATAGTATGAGTACCCCCGAACAACATGAGGAGACGCCCTCCCTTTACTTGCTCTGCAGGGCTGAGACACGGGCAAATCTGGGCCAGAGGTCTACAGTCAATAGCTCAGCTAGCACTCAGGAACTTACCATGCCAAATTGGCCTCTCTGGATCCAACCTGTATCAAGTGCAATAGGTGCTCATGTGCAGATGCAACCCACTTTTCAGGGGAGGAAAGGATTTCAAGAGGCCCGAGGGTGATAATAATAAACAAGCCCCCAACACCTTCTCTTCAGGTACAAAGCATGGGAGCTCTCCCAGGGTAGAATGGAGGGACGGAGCTTTGGGTAAGCAAAATAGGCTCCCTGGCCAATTTAGCCACTTCAGGGCCCCCATTTTCCACTAGGGGAGGCACAGGCCAGGCTTTCCAGTTTGGGGCCCTGTCAAAGTTGAAAAACTGTAAGGAGCACCATTAAAAATATAGCTGGATGTGACTATGCCCAACATGAGCTTCTGAATACCAGTCAGTCATTATGCTGCGTTTGGTGTAATGTTTAGCCTTCTTCACTCCAGGTTTATGAAAGGCTGGAAGTATGCCATATTATTAGAATCCTTCTAACGTATGCAAACAATTACGGTATATAACAAAGATTGGAGCAGCCATTAACTTCCTGTTTGGGGAACTTGCTTCAACTCCCGACTCTCCAACCCTTGCTTTCCTGGGATGGAAAGGTGGGAGAACCCAGCAGCAGCAAATTTCCCGGCAAGAGCATATGGCCACTTGCAGCTCCATCTGAACACTTGCAAGGCATATTGCCACCGTCTGGACAAGACTTTCTTAAGATGGCTTAGAATCAAGGCAGCCTCAGCCGATCTACTGTAAGGCGTCAATTGGCGCACGATACTCTTGGCAAATGCAACCTTGAGCACATAGGAAAGGAAGGAACCATCTGGAGTTCTCACGCAAGGCAGAAAGGTCCAGGCTGAAACAATCACACACACGTGATCCAGCTCTGAGAAGATGTTTATAGTTCTGAGTAAGGAGAAGAGGACAACCAGCAATAAGGGGATACAAGCTTTGATCAAAGGCAGTGGAGGCGCCACTGAAAGGCCTTCAGGACCAGACGGAGGATGGATCCTCCTGGAGAAAACCTATGTGGTTGCTATGAGTTGACACCAACTTGATGGCACATAATCAATCAATCAATCAATCAATCCCCAGGGTTTGCTCTCTATTATGTACACTTATCATGCACATAGTTTAAATATCCACCCTGACTTTTATTTCCCTGAGCCTTAAACTCTTTAGAGGAAAGATAGCATTAAAACAAAGATGAGAGGGGTGAGCTATCATCCAGGTGAAGATGAAAATGACAATATCAGCTTACCTGTAAAACCCGAGAATGCCCAAGCGGTATTGGATCACCACCACCACTACATTTTCATAAGCAGACAAAACAGACCCATCGTATGTGGACCCTGCACCCAGCAGTAGTCCTCCACCATGGATCCAGACCATCACCTGGAAGCAAAATGCAACAGGGCAATGGAAGTGACTCTCTGTAAGGTGAGAAGTGACTTAGAAGCCCCTTCTGCAAATGCAGACAATTGAGATATTTATTGTACAAAATGGAATAAAAGTAGATTTAGATGCAATATCAATAAACAGTATTGAATGCTACTTGATTTCACCTTAGGCTGTGGGGCCAAATCAAACCCAGAAACAAGAAAGTCGCTTACCGTTAACTGCTCTGCCTTATCAGCCTGGACGGGCACATAGATGTTCAGGTACAAACAGTCTTCCCTGATGCGCAAGGAGATCCTTCGCTCTGTGTTAGCCAAGGCATCCGAGAGAGCTTGTCCCACCAGCGGATCCTGCAGGCACCTTGCAGAGAGCAAGCAGAAGGGCTTTCAAGGTCTGAACTACCAACAGAGTTGGTGGTCTGCGGTTGCCTAAGAGGACTTGAGTCATCATCTAAGTCAAGGGTCCCCAAATTTTCCAGCCTTCTGGGCCCACCGCTTGCTCAAATGGAGCTGCAAGCATCTCTCACCTGCCACACGTGTGGCCCAGTTCCAAATGGGCTGCAACCCAGTACAGGGCCATGGCTCAGAGGTGGGGGACCCCTGTCTAAGCTTTTCTGCCGTGGAAATAATTTCAATGTACTCCTTTCTTGGAAAAAAGCCAAGGAGCTTAGAAGTTTCCCTTCTGTCTGCTCTTCTTTCAGCCCTGATTTGGTTTTTTTGTTATTGTTTTTCTTTTCTGAAAAGATAGTTGACATGTTTGGAAAAGGGGATCTTTTGCAAGAAAGGATTTTGCTCAAACCGCCAGCCACAAATACAAATGGATGTGCGGGAAGATCGCTGCTGAAAAGGTTGCCTAGTTATCACGTCTATGGGTGGGGACAAAGGGAATGTTGTTGGTTCATCATCCGTGGAATAAAATATAGGTACCTTCAAGACTGCAGCACTGGCATCAATCTTTTAAAAAGGGGGAATGGTGTTGAAAGAATCCACTTGATTTAACATGTTTCGTACAGGTGTTCAGAAGACAAGAAAAGGTGGGGATCTGGAAAACTACTGTGGAACCCTAACCCCTCCCTCAACTTGCCATTCAGGAAATTCAAGTTTCATGAAGAAAACGGAGAGGACACTCTTTTCCCCCTGGCAATCCTTCCTGATGATGACCTAAGAGCCAAAGGCTTTTCTAGACGGTTATCAGTCCTCCCTTTGTGATCAGACGCCGAGAGGGAAGCACCATCTCTGGCCTGGCAAAATGTTCTCGACTTACATGGGCGGGTAAGAGGTTGCATCTCTGAGACCAGTCCAGGGTTCTGCCGGCTGCGGAGGGGAAAACCGCAAAGATCCAACAGGGGGTTTTGCGTAGGGAATTCCAAGGAAAACCTCCACATCCCTTTCAGCTCCTCTCACCCTGATCCGCTGCCCTTGGATTTCTCCGTTTGGGATGAGGACCCGGGGAGGGCCAGGAGTTTCCCCTGTGCAAGGAAAAGGCACTTTTAAGAAGAGGCTAGACAGTCACTTGTCTGAAATGGTATAAGTGCTCCTGCTTGAGCGGGAGGCTGGACTAGAAGATCTCCAAGGTCCTTTACAGCTCTATTCTATTCTATTCTGTTCTAGTTCTATCCTAATTCTTATTATTCTTATTCTAATATTAAAAACTTTAATCAGGCAGATGCTCTTCTATGCAAGTCTACATTTTTCATCAAGGGCTGCACATTGACAAAAACAGGATTTAGTTCTCAAAATCAATGCCTCAAAGACAGATTTTACTGGCATGACAGGTTCTTCTCCATTTTTGGTCTCTGCAAGAGGATCAATTTTTTTCAAACTTTGTAATCTTACCTCTATCTGCCAGAGATGGGTCCCAAAAGACCAGGAGGAGGGACAGCCACCAGACCTGCTTCATTTCTGGTTAGTGCTCAGAGCCTGAAATACTAGCAGAAGGGCAAGTGGGAGCTTATAAACAGAAATACTGCAACCTTCAACCTCTGAGGGTTAAATTTCAAAGAAGGCAGGCTACATTTTCTATTTCTGTATCTTGTTTCTGACATACTCCTGTTGTCCCTCCCACATTACTGGAAACCAAGAAGGGAGAAAAAGCTCAGAAGGCTGGGAGGGGATGAAGCAAGACCAAAATTGGCTTGATTTAATCTCCTGTGCTTGCTCCTAGTGGAGGAACAGCGGCTCCTTCAACCGATGGGCAGTTGATTCAGGGAACCAGCTTGCTGGCATCAGTTGATGGAACACAGCTACCATGTCACCCTTAGTCCTTCTCTTCATTACACTAGACATACATTCCAGCCAGAGCCAAAGGGTTGATCTTATAAAAGAAAAATCCATAAAACAGAAATTGTGAATGTTCATCCAATTTGTGATTTCTCAAGTTGAGCTTTGTTCTGTTTGCTCAAGCAGAACAGGATAGTACTTTGGTCTCCAAGATTTATTATGAGTTTGCGACACCAGAACATGTGGACATCGTTAGTAACACTCCATGGGCAGGACTTTGAAAACAAGGGACACAGAATGCAGGATAACAGGATTAGAAAGGACCTTGGAGGTCTTCTAGTCCAACCCCCTGTTCAAGCAGAAAACCCTATACCATTCCAGACAAAGTTGTCCAATCTCTTCCTGAAAAACTCCAGTGATCGAGCACCCACAATTTGAGACAAAATATGAAACAAAATACAAAATGCTGAATTTATAATTAAGCAACAAGAAACCATAAATGTGTGAGAATGTAGCCAATTACAGAGAAACTGCAAAGACAAAAATAAGTGGGTCAGACTTGTGCTGCGCAGCAACAAAACTTTCCATTGCCTCTAACAATCTTTCAAACTGCCAGCCCTCGGGCCGGATGCGTCATGCCAAAACTACGCCAACCCCATTGCCGGCAATGGGAAAAAAGTCACGATATGTCGTGACACATCACGTGACATTGCAAGTTTGACACCCCTGGTCTATACAATGTGAAAACTACTTCCCTTTAAAGCCTGCTTCCACTTACTGCTACATTTACTGTGCTTTACATACCCTGCAATCTTCAGGAAGCCCATGCTAAAACATTTATGAATATTCAGATTGCTGAAATTCTTCTATAATGTTATGCAGTATAAAGCTGAAAAGAATCTGAACATCGCATATTTGGTGCATCGAAAGGAATGGGGTTTTGGAAATCATGGTGTATCGCTTGATGAAAATGTCAGCTCAAGGTGTGGCTGCCAAGTAATTTTATGCCAGGAATCATTACATTAGAACTGCTGCCTAGGAAAGCCCTTGTATGGCCCTGTGGTTTGACTGCTGTTGAAGAATGGTGTGCAGTTTTGTCCTTTACCAGAGAAATAGGAGATGGTTGTAGAGCTGGAAGAGAGCAGCCAAAATGATGAGAAAGGCGAAGCAGCTGCCCCTGGGCAAAAGATGGCAGGAGGGTGTTTTGGAGCTATGGTGGATATGATGGAAATGGATGAGAACTTGCTGCATCAATGAGGTCATGATGGCAACCAGTTGCTAAGGAAAGATGGCAGGGCAGAAATGCCGTTGTTTCTCCAGCTGCTCACCAGCATTAAGTTTAACGAGGCATCAACAAACACTAGGAGCTCCTGGCTCATCTGGTACCAGAGCTGGTCTTCCTACAAGAACCTTTTCAGATTGCCTGAGGTACAGCTAGCTTGGCCTCAACATTACTATAACAACGAAACATTCCTAAAATTATTTGCCTTTTCCAATGTAATTAGAGTGTCATTCAACAGAATCAGAGTATTGAAACTTCCTGGCAGATTTCTCCTTGTCTTGCTGGAATTTGGAACGACACCGAAGTTGAACAAGCATCATTCTTTTTTTTTTTCTAAATGAAAGAAAATGAAAAAGCAATGAAAACACTTTAATAAACAGTGAAACAAAAATGAAAAGATGTATCTTACAACAAAGCAACTGAACCATTCCTAAGGCAGCAAGTTTGTCACACAGAAAGATTGATCAGATACTAACGTAAACATTTTCTGGACTTAGGGGAAACTATAGCATTTGCTTTAAAGTTCCAGGGCTCGGGGGTCAAACTCCACCGCGTGAGGGCCGGGAGAACCGGCCGAGCGAGCCTTTTCCCGCCCTGCCGCCCCCTGGAGCCGAGGCAGCCACTTTCTGCGGCTCCAACCGCGCGATCCCTCAGGGACCGCCCGCCAAGTCTCCGCACAACATGGATCCAATAGGCGAGCTTATTTCGGGCGTGCTGGAGTGTCTGGCCAATGAGAAGGTTTTTCTCGGGCCTATCGCATCTTCTAGTCCTTCCAGCCAATCCAAAGACTCGTTTCTGGCAGAATCCCTGTGACAGTCCAATCAGAAGGCGGCTCCGCAGTCCCGGCCCGTCCTTCCGGGAAGCCTCAGCCCCAGTGGGAGAGCGCGCGGCGGGGAGAGGTGCGGCCGAGCGCGGGTAAGGCGGGGTAGCTGCTGCCGGGCGCCGGGGCCGGGCTGGGGCCAGCGGTGGGCAGGGACGGGCAGGGCTTCAGCTGCCATCCGCCGCCGGAGGCCACTTGCCGGCTGGGAGGGAGGGACGGATGCCTGGCATCCCTCGCAGGACGCGGGCGGGGTTCTTCTGGCAGCAGCGCGGAGAGAATCGCAGGTTGATACCGGCTGAACTGCAGATACGCTCAGAACCCCCCACGGGTTGCCCGGGTGTTGATGTTGAGTTCTCTCCTCCTTTGGGTCTCGGTCTCCGTCTCTCCCTCTCCCTGCCTTAAGTTCAGCAAAAAAGAAAGGTGGGCTATCTTGTGTCTGTGAGAGACGATAACGGGAGACTGCAAGGCTCATTCTTGCCATTTGCTTTGCTTGGGAACTGAGCAATAGAAAAAATGCAAATCTTTTCCTCCTAGATTTGTACAGGACAACTTTTCTTTAAACCAGGAACCGTCAACCTCTGGCTTCTACATGATACGCTGTATTTTAGAGTTGTGCCCATTGACTTAAAGTCCAATCTCTGGTGTTGCTGTTTCATTCTTGGAATAAAGAGACTTTATGTTGTTTAGGCTTTCTGGCTTAAGATCCCATCATACGTGGCTGCATATTACAACTCTAGAACTGAGTGCCTCTCCCTAACAGGATGTGTTTCTCTTTCCAACAGCTGGTGATTATGGAGGCAGAATAAGGATTGACCTGCCTTTAGAACTAGAGATTTTCAGTGGGTGCTTATCCAATTCAATCATGAAGACTGATTTCCTGAAAGAGGAGAAGAAGAAAAAGAAGAGGACAACAAGCAAAGGGCTGAAATTTGCAAAGAAGCAGTTGAAGAAGCATGGATGGAAAAAAGGTGCAGGGCTTCACCTGTTTTAAGTTTGCCTCTCTTGGGTTCTGCTCTCCGCACTTAAGTAGAGCAGAAACGTATTTATTTTGGACCTAAGGATTAACTGTTCCTGTCATCCAAAATGGAAATACATACCAGTCTGCCTGACATTGATCATCCTAGCTAGAGTAATTCTGAATTACAGTCCAGTAATTCTGACTGAACTGTAACTCCTTGGAATGACACAGGCATTATTAAAGTCAAAGTGTGGTGCTGAAAACGAATCTTGATTGATTTTAGCAAAGCATTTGACAGTTTGTTCTGAATAACAAGGTTCTTAAGTGTGGATTGGATGACGGGATATTGGTTGGCCTTGATTTACAACCCTTCAAAGTTACCCTGATGCTGAACAAAATGACTCAGCTCCGGTCCTCACACTTGCTACCCTTGCAGCTGTCAGGATTCATGAAGTAATTTAGGAAGTGATGGCCATCTGTGACCTTCCCAGCCAGCTTCCAACAAAGTCAATGGGGAAAGCGGATTTCGCTTAACTTATGATTCACTTAGTAACTGCAGCAAAAAAAAAATCATAGAATCAGGCATGACTCGCATCACACAGCAATGGAAATACCAGTCCCAATTATGATCAAAAGTCGAGGACCACCTTCAGTTGTAGGTCTAGCTCAGAAATCATACTCCGAGTTGGTTCCTTGAAGGAGATGCTGCAGGTTTGTTCTTAGGTTTACTTCAATATGTTTCTTAATGAAAAAGAGGAAGGAATGTTTTCTTTTCTTTTAGGTAAAGGACTTGGAAAGCAAGAAAATGGAATCGCTGAAGCCCTAAAAGTCAAAATGAAATGCAACACAGCTGGGGTAAGGAAGGGTTAGACTGTGAGCCAACCAGTGGGAGGAGGGGGGATCTCGGCCTAGAGAGACAGTAAAACTGAAAGCAGCTTTCCAGAAGTCACCTCGCCTCTTTTGAGCAAAGCCAGCCTTTTGTCCTATGTAGCATTCAGGGTCCACTTTGTCTATTCCTAAGCATGTTCTTGCCTGCCAGGATTACCCAAGTAAGTACAGTCCAGCCTTGAGGATCAGTAGTTTCATATTCTTGAGTTATAAAATGCTTTTGCACTTGCTTATTGGACCATAGTCCAGATTTTATGTAAAGTCTGCCGAGAATTATCTATGTTTAGCATGGAACTCCCGGTTAGATGAGTGGGGACAAACTGGAGGCACACTAGAGAATCAGGTGGGTGGTGGACAGTTACTTTCTTGCTTTAGGATTCCTTCCAAGCTTGGAAAGTTCTTAAATGACTTGGGAGCATTTGAAGCTTATAGGCCAGATTTGTGACCCTGCCTCCTCCTGACCCAGGTGGGACACGACTCAGCTAAGGAGTTCACCTTCCACTGGTGGGACCATCTGTTCAACTCATCTGCTGCCAACATTACAGTAGACGCTGGGCAGGTAAGGGGGCACTGGCTGGGCTGGGCTTGAGAGGAGAGCGCAGTACTGCCTGCCGAAACCGGGCAGGCTGGGGCTGGGCGGCAGATGCCAATTCTCACTCCGCTCGCGGCGTCCCCTCCCCCAGAGCCCGGTGTGTGAAGTGGGCGAGGGCCAATTGCTGGTCACCTCCAGCCGATGGTGCCTTTCTTCATTCCTCGTGGAGGGTGACTCCTGCCCAGCTGCATTTCTTGCCTGTTTTTCGCTGCAACTTGTGTGCGCGCCCGACATAGATGGCTGCCACGAAGTTATAGATCGGCTACCGGCTGACCTGTTTTATCTCCTCTGCTCTCCCCTCCATTCTCTCTTTGGTGCAACTCCAGCTGACTCCCCTTCCCAAGGCTGCGTCTTTTCTCTTTCTCTCTCTTCTGCCAAAACTGCCTGCTTTTATAGCCTCCCGTCTCCGCCCTCCTCCTTTCTCTTCCGGGTGTGCCAATCCTGGGGCCTTTATCTGGCCCCAGCAGCCCTGCAGCTCCTGCTGACTCTCTCAAGGCAAGTCCTGCGCTGCGGCACTTTAGCTTGTTCCCTCCTCCTGCAAGTCCTGTGCTGCACTAGACCAGCGGGCTGGATAAAAAGACAAGGTGGGCCGTAGTTTGAGGACTCCCGTTCTAGGACTTTCCCTAGCCAGGAGAGTCATATAAACTAAAGAAATGCCGGTTTCTTCTGTTGGTAGTTGAAAAGGCTATAGCCAGGGAAAAACACTTCAGGGATCCCTCCCTGAGCACATCTTTTTCTACAAGCTTTGGTTGGTGAGGTAAAAATGTTGTTGTTGTTGTTAATTGCGAAGTCGTGTCCGACCCATCGCAACCCCATGGACAACGTTCCTCCAGGCCTTCCTGTCCTCTACCATCTTCTGGAGTCCATTTAAGCTCCCGCCTACTGCTTCAGTGACTTCATCCAGCCACCTCATTCTCTGTCGTCCCCTTCTCTTGCCCTCCATCTTTCCCAGCGTTAGGCCCTTCTCCAGGGAGTCCTTCCTTCTCATTAGGTGTTTGTTCAAAGTACTTGAGTTTCAACTTCAGGATCTGGCCTTCTAAAGAGCAGTCGGGGTTGATCTCTAGGACTGACCGGTTTGATCGCCTTGCAGTCCAGGCGACTTGCAGGAGTCTTCTCCAGCACCATAGTTCAAAGGCCTCCATTCTTTGTCGCTCAGCCTTTCTTATGGTCCAACTTTCACATCCATACATTGCAACTGGGAAAACCATGGCCTTGACTATACGCACTTTTGTCGGCAGGGTGATGTCTCTGCTTTTTAGTATGCTGTCTAGATTTGCCATAGCTTTCCTCCCCAGGAGCAAGCGTCTTTTAATTTCTTGGCTGCAGTGCCCATCTGTGGTGATCTTGGAGCCCAGGAAGATGAAATCTGTCACTACCTCCATTTCTTCCCCATCTATTTGCCAGGAATTGAGAGGGCCGGATGCCATGATTTTGGTTTTCTTAATGTTGAGTTTCAAGCCAGCTTTTGCACTCTCCTTCACCCGCATCAAGAGGCTCTTTAGTTCCTCTTCACTTTCTGGAGGTAAAAATAAATTTATTAAATTGAACATAACACATAGCAATTGAACACAGCTGTCACATCTGTTGACCATTGTGTATAGTTTTATCTTTTCTGTGAATATGTACAAAAAGTCCTTGGGGTTTCCACCAGTATCTTTGCAGGTAAATAACCTCCAGTCCGTTTCATAAATGACAGGACATGAAAGGCTTGTTTGGGTTTAGCTGCACTTCTGAACTTTCATTCCTCCCCCAGGATGGGGTCCAAGTGAGAAAAACCTCTGAGCGAGAGGGGCCAGTCACAAGTACGAAGCCATGGCGAGTCAAGGAGGGGAACATGCTCTACAGCCGCTTTGTGAAGGTGATGGGCTGTGGTGGAGGACCGGTGCCTGGGAGACCGTCGGGATGGAGCTTTTCCTGGGTAGTGGGCAGAGTGCCAGAGATTCGTCTGATTTGCCCTCCTTGCAGGCAGCTACCCTGATATCTGGCACAGAGGAGCCTATGAACCCCATGTCCTCCGTAGAGCAGGAGGAGGAGAAACTGGACCTCGCCACAGCAAGGAGGTAAGGCTGAGGAGGGGCCTGGAGAAACCCGGCTCCTGTCCCACTCCAGCCATGCAAATGCTGACCAGGTTGGTTCCCCCCCTTCTGTCTTTTGCAGGCTGACTGACCAGGAGCTATTCCAGGCCTGTGGGGGAAGAACAGTCCACAAGTGAGCAAGCAGGGGAGGATGGACCTAGACACAGGTTTGGGGGGAAGACCCAGTGCTGGATGGGTTGTGGTGCAACAAGTACAGGCAGACCCTCTGAACCGATCGAGCAGGCCTCTGTCCCAGTGACACAGGGCTTGCTGGGGGTGGGGTTTACCCAGTGGGGTTGGCTGTCATGCTGGCCTGGCTACTGCAGGGCCCCCACTGAAGTTCCCAGGAAAGAGTAGCTGAGTCCCCCTGCCCCTGTGGCTCTTCAGTGGAGATGAGTCTTCCTTAATCCCAGCCCCTCCTATGCTGTTGCCAGGCTAGGCCAGCAACTCCTGCCTTCCAACCCCGCGAACATCAAGGTGGGCTCAGCCTCATGTCTCGCCTTTGCTGCTTCTCCAGGGGCGCTCGGCATGGCATCACGATGAGGGCAAAGCTCGCCCGGCTGGAAGAGCAGGAAAAGGCTTTCTTGGCTAGCTCTGTCCAGTGGAAGGACGGGCCGGGGACGGCCCCCAGCGGCTGCCCTGACCCGCAAGCCAAGAAATGCAAAAGAAGCAAAACGGGGGCTGCTACAGAGAAGAGCCAGGTGGGGGAAGACTGCCTCAAGGCCAAGCCCAAGAAGAAGAAGAAGAAGAAAAAGACCAATGGCAAGGAGCTGAATGGGCCTTAGGGAGACGGCAGGCCAAGCGTGGCAGCCAGAGGAGCAGAACGGCTGGGAGCTTCAACCCTGCTCGAGCTGCACTTGTGCACTTGTCCAACAAAGGACTGGCTCATCTCCTTCACTAAGGAGTGTGTTAGGTTGAAAATTGTACAGATAAATTATTTTTACATAAATAGATAATACATCTACACAATTTTGCTTAATTTTCCTTAAAGACTTGGAAGCCTTTGCCTATAGATTTCTTATTCATACTGAAGGGGGCGGGTGGGTGGGTGTGTCTGACAGCATCTCTTGCTCCTGGAAAAAATCAATTGAAGTATCAGATTTTGAAAAATAATATAAAAATTTAAAATGAAGGCAAGGATACTTAAAATTTGCAGGAAAAGTAAATGAAAAGGCAGGGGGAGGGCTTTGGGGGCACTAACCAGCCTCATGGCTGCAGCTTCTCCATGCCCCCCCCCCCCCAGCGAAATGGCAAAGGCAGTTCTTGAGATATTTTCAAAAGTCCAGATGGGGGTGGTGCCTCATTTTGGGGAGTGGGAAATATTCCACGGGGGGGGGGGATAGGGAAGCTGCTTCCTGCCACACCCAGACAGAGTCCTTTGGCTGACGGGTCTGCAACAGGATAAAAGATGGTGAGGTAAAGAGAAGGGTTCTTTACTCCCAGCAAGTTGGTTCCCCGTGTGTTTGTGATTGCCCCTCCCCCAAAGGCTTTTCTGTCCAATGATCCCTTATGGCAGATCTCTTCCTAAAATAGATCCTCTCCCCACATGTGACCAATTTCTTATAGTGCCCTTCTGGCGTTGAGGGGGGTGTATGGAAAGCTAGGCCTTTCATGGGGTTTTGGAGAAAGATCTGCATTCTCTTCCCCGAGACGTGGTTGGTCCCGGGACTCCCCCAGGCTGGCCTCAGGCCCTCCTTCGCCCCAGAGGACCAGCCAGCAGCTGCCAAGGGAGGGTCTGTTTTGAGGAGAGGGGACCGCGCCCCTTTTGACTCGGGTGCGTCAGGCCCGCCGGCATCCCCGGAGTTCATTGGGGAAACGAGAGGCCGGCGGCGGCGGCAGCAGCAGCAACCCTCAATGGCAGCCTAATGAGCTGCGCGTGCGCGGAACGTCGGGACGCGTCTTGAAAGGAACAGGGTGACTGCGAGACTTCCGCCCAAAGCAGATCAAGCCCCGCCCCTTCCGACTCCGGGAAGCAGGAGGTTCGCAGGATCACGTCGCCTGCTCCGCTGCCATGGCGCTCCTCTGCTCCGGTGGCCGCTCGCTCCTGCCTCCCCGCGTGGCCGCCCTCGCGGTCCGAGCCAGGTAACGGCTTCGGCATCTCGGAACGCGGCCGAGAGGAGCCGGCCGGCCTCGGAGGGGCGAAGCCGGGCGACCCCTTTCTGTCCTTCGGCGGAGCCAGTGGCGGGATCGCGGCGGGACGGAGGGCTGCGATTGGGTGGTTCGGGGGGCGGGAGCGCCTGAGCGGCCTCCGATTGGCGGCCTCGCGGGCGGCCTCTGTGCCCTTGGAGCGGAGGCGCGTCGGGAGGGGGAGTCGGGGTCTCTCGCCGCCCCGTCCCGGCCGCAGGGAGCGCGCCGCCCTTCGCCGGACGGGGGTCCCCGCTGCTCCGCCCGCAGCGTCCCTGGCGCCTCGCGGCCAATGGCCAGCCTCGCCCCGGCCTCCCCGGGGGCTCTGCGGAAGAGCGCCCGGCTCCCTGCTCTTCGGGCGGGCGGCCCTCGGGCAAAGCGCCTCGGGGAAGGGGGAGGCGGCGGCCCTCCGTGCGACCTGCAGGCCGAGCGCTGCTCTTTCCCGCGCGAGCCTGGAGGGGCCTCGGCTTGCGGGGGGTGGGTGGGCTGACGCCTGTCGCTCCTGCCGGCGGTGCCTTTCGGGCGAGCGCGCTGGCTGCCCGTCCTTGGGCATCCCCGGCGTCCCTCGCGAAGGCCCGACCGCTCCTGTCTGGACGCTGCAGCTCCTGGTGGGCCCACGTGGAGATGGGCCCCCCCGACCCTATTCTGGGGGTGACGGAGGCCTTCAAGAGGGACACCAGCCCCAAGAAGATGAACCTGGGAGTCGGGGCTTACCGGGATGACAACGGGAAGCCCTTCGTGCTCGGCTGTGTGCGCAAAGTAAGCTGCTTTCCCCCGCCTGTCTGACGGGGCCGGAGGTTAAATGGGGGCGGTTGGACTCTGGTCCTAGTGAGGCTGCCTTTGAATGGCTTCTAACGTGGCCCCTGTTTCCCGCTGGCCCAGCCGGGTGGGCAAAAGACAGACCACCGGCCCGAGCGGCAGCAGCTCCTCTTGCCTCGGGGCTGCCAAATGAGTTAAACATGGCTGAACTGGTGCATGAGTCGGGCAGAGACAAAAGGGTGAGGGTTATAGCCTTTAAATGATGGGATCTAATGCAGAGACCTGGCTGGCTTGTCCCATCTTGACCAGAGTCACTATAGCTGTCTTTTAGCAGCATGAACTCTCTCACTTAAGAGAGCTATAGAAGCCTGAATTAGACTGGTGGAATGGCTTGATCAAATGCTGAATCCGCCTGTAAGAAATTGCTGAAGTATCGCCTAGGGTTTGGTGAAGTAGTTCATAAGTTGCAGTAGTTGAAATGAAAATTTAAATGAGTGAGTGAAGTATGAATGGGGTGCAGGCTTTGCATTGAATAAGTGATGATACAGCTTTTCTGAGAGATCTTGCTGCCGGATTAACAAAGTTCAGAGGACAAATTTGCAGATGTGAGAAGGGGGCAGGACAATCTGAATTTAAGTGTTTGGCTTTTCTGCACTGAAAGTGTCAGGAAAGCAACCACAGATGGGCATTGGCTACTTGGGAGTTCAGAAGGCAAGCCTAACCAAGGGAATGAGAAATGGGCGCAGCAGAATGGGCCTGAGCTAGAAAAGTGGTTACTGCTTAGCTATTTGACTAATTCTTTCTTTACATTGTATTCATAATCCTACAAACTCCCCTTTCCTCCCTGTTGCAACCCTGCTTTATTTAGAATTAAGTATTGGGTGAATATTTCCAATTGACAGGTGGAAGAGATCAGTAAGTAAATTGAATGTCTTTATGGTCTAGGCAGAAGCCCAGATAGCTGCTAAGAAGATGGACAAGGAATATTTGCCTATATCTGGGTTTGCAGACTTCAACAAGGCATCAGCTGAACTGGCTTTGGGAGAAACAAATGAGGTTATACAAAGTGGCCGGGTAAGGAGCCAAATATTTATCAAGTTCATTCAGACAGAGTTGTCTTTGCTGTGCAAGATTTGGATCATTTGTGGATGAAGAGTTGACTTCTGTAGAGACCTTAGCTGAGCCTTTGAAATTCTGTTGGAAAAGGTGAAAGCAACTGTAACCCACCGTTGACAGTGCAACTAATTTTGAAAGCACCTGGAGGTTCTAGGTCACAGAGAGGCAGTATTTCAACAGGTGAACCATCTCCTTTCATTCCATTTGTTGGAAGAGGTAATATGTGGAACATATAAGTGCAGTTTTGTCTGAAAATGCTGAAACTCCACGTTTTCCTTACGTTTAGCTTGGATGTGCCACCACAAATCAATCCTACAGTTTAATGTGATCTCTTGATCTCTCCTCAAAACATACAGTGACTGTGTCCACAAGAAGAAAGTTAGCTGTATCTGGGAAACCAACTAGGAGATTAACTAGCCCTTAGCTCTCCCAAAGTCAAAAATGGGTCCTTTGGAGCTGTTTGTATCACAAGAGTGGTTTCAGTTTTCACATTCCCCACTGAGACCATGCAATCCCACCCATTGCACAAATTAAATCACCCCAAGCAAGGGGCTGTCTGGCCTTGAAACTTTGTGGTGAGTAGCTTCACTCAAGTTCAATTGATATTCTCTAGTATCATAAAAGCAGTTGAGAATTGCAATGGTTCTTTTCACTTGGTTGAGTATGACTGCCCTCAAAGCAGAAGTATGCAACTTGTGGCCCTCTGGGTTTTCTGGAACTTCCCTTCTCCAACTTTGTAACTGTTAACACTGAGGGAAGGTGGATTCTGGCCTCCCTTTCCTGCTTCTTTAAGGTTTTCAGCTGCAAAATAGAGAGCTCAGTGCTTGCTAAGCCACAACAATCTCTTTTTTTCCTTGTTGGTATCTGGATGTCTCATGTACCTTATCTGCATCTTTTCAGTATGTCACCGTGCAGACAATTTCTGGAACCGGGTCTTTAAGGGTTGGAGCCAACTTCTTGGTGAGTTCTGATTTGAGGTCTTTAAATGAAGAGAACAGGACTCCTTGAGCCGTCTAGAAGCTCGGACTCAGCTGCCTCTCCTTTCTTCCTGTTTAGCAACGATTCTTCAGCTCCAGCCGTGATGTGTTCCTCCCCAAGCCTTCCTGGGGGAATCACACCCCCATTTTCAGAGATGCCGGAATGCAACTACAAAGCTATCGATACTATGACCCCAAAACATGCGGTTTTGACTTCACTGGAGCTTTGGAGGACATTTCTGTAAGTTCACACTTATGGGTATATAGGGTGGGAGAGTCACGTGTGTGGAAAATGTAGCCTCCAAACCCCCAGCGTGACGCAAGGCCGACTGTAACTAAAGTCCTGAAGCCACTTTTAAAAAGCCAAGATGGTGTGTGGGAGGCTCATTCCGTCAGCAGGGGCTCTTTTATCCAATGCACAAAACTGCAACAATGAGAAGAGGGGTTTGTCCATGTTTCATGATAGGGGAAATTACTCAGCTGTTCTTATTTAAGGGGATCGTGATCCATGCCTTTCCCCCACATCCTCTCTTTAAAAGAAAATTCCAGAAAAGAGCATTATTCTCTTCCATGCCTGCGCTCACAACCCCACTGGAGTGGACCCTCGTCCGGAGCAATGGAAGGAGCTGGCGGCAGTGGTGAAGGTGAGCGGTGGGGCCAGGCAGGGGTGACCACACTCTTCTTGGTTTGTTGAGCTATCCTCTTATACAAATGGAGGGCCAGCAGTTGGGTGTTCTGCTTTAGCGGCTGCCCTTGAAACTGTTTTCCAGAAAAGGAATCTCTTCACCTTCTTTGACATGGCCTATCAAGGTTTTGCCAGCGGGGATATAAACCGAGATTCGTGGGCCGTCCGTCACTTCATTGAGCAAGGCATTAACATTGTGGTCTCCCAGTCGTACGCCAAGAACATGGGCCTCTACGGTAAGCCTGTCTGTTCCCCCCAGGACAACTCAGCCCTTCCTCTTTCAGAGTGGAAGGAAAGGCTAGAAAGGGGAGTTTCTTAGGTGTCCCCAGGAGAATTGGGGATGCTGTGACTTGACACCACCTCTCTGAGGGAAGGGAGGAGGGTTCTCTTGGGCTGTTCCCAGAAACAGGTGGCTAGCAAGAGCCTGCCTGCTGGACGGAGGGTGCAGGGGCTTTGGGTCCGTCTGCTGGGCGATTCATACCATCTGGATACAGCAGCACCCATGCAGCCAGTCAAGAGCCACACTGGGGTTCTCTCCACCTGCTAAATTGGGTCTGGGTTTCGATAACACACTAGACTCTTTCCCTTGCCCCAAAATGGAGGATGCAACTAAATGAAGTTGCCCACTCTCTCTTGGGCCTGGCTGCAGCAGATGTCACTGTGGGAAAAGATGGCCAAGGCTTTCATCTGGCAGGGCCTGCTTCTGCCTTGGCTGCAGTGCCCAGGCCTCTGGGCCACTCATGCACGGGAGGGGGTGCGTCTGTGAGCCCGGACCTTGAACCAGCTGCCCTGTCCTCCCGTCTCCTCCTTGCAAGGAGGTTTAGCTCCTCCTCGTGTGTAATAGAGCAGGGAAGGGAGTTGTGCTTCCGTGCTCCTCTCTACACACAAGGCCTCCTGCTGTTTGGGGGGGGGGCAGCAAAAGGAAGGGTTTGACACTTTTCTTCATGTCTTGAAGAAAGAATCTGAGGATGATGGAGCATCTTCAGGATAGGGCTGTGCCCAGGGGTTTGTCTGGTCGACAGGGCCAGGGGAGGAGGCCCGAGGGGCTGCAGAGGGGGACTGGGTGGTGTTGCTGGAGTAGGACTTGGCTTCTGTCTCTAGGGGAGCGTGTGGGCGCCTTCACTGTCATTTGCAAGGACATGGATGAAGCCAAGAGAGTGGAGTCCCAGATCAAGATCCTGATCCGCCCCATGTATTCCAACCCCCCCCTCAATGGGGCTCGGATAGCTTCCACTATCCTAAACAGCCCGGATCTGCGAAAGGAATGGTAAGTGTGCTGGGAGGGGGAGCAGAGGCCACCTTCTGACAGAGCTGCGGCTTTGCTCTACGTTGGAGCCAGAAGCCTTTGGAGATGTGGGCCTCGGGTGAGATCCTGTCAGGACTGGGCACCATGTGCTGGGCTGGTCCTGGCACAGCTGTAAAGGGTTTGAAGGGAGCCCCTGGATGCGCCAGTGGTGGGATGACCTTGTCAAGTGACAGGGACCAGCCTAGGGTACCTTTTGAATCTCCTTCACCCTGGGAAAGTGGAACTGTCCGACTCTGATTTCAGGACCAAGTATTCTGTCCTTAACGGAAATGCCTCAACTTTGAAACAGGCCTTTGGAGGTTGGAAGAATCTTTTTCCAAGTCAGCTTGCTTCTCCTTCCGGGTTCTGAGATGGGGGGGGCTGGAGAGCAGAATGGGGAAGACCCTGGTGGTGGTGGTGGAGGAGGAGGGCTGCATCTTCTCTTCCTGCTGCTGAGCACCCTTTCTGGCTTCTCTGGGCAGGCTAGCAGAGGTGAAGGGAATGGCCGACCGCATTATCGGCATGCGCACCCAACTCGTGGCCAATCTCAAGAAGGAAGGTTCTTCTCATAACTGGCAGCACATCACTGATCAGATCGGCATGTTCTGCTTTACGGGACTGAAGCCAGAACAGGTAAGAAGAGGGGGTGGGCTTGGTGTCCGGAGCCCTTGGGCTGCCTCAATCCTAGTTGGGTTCCATTCAGGAGAGGAGCTTTACCTCTTGCCCCCTTTATTTAGCAGCACGACCCTGGGGGGTTTCCAAGATGGCCTTGCATGTCTCCCCTGCTTTAAAGGGATCCTTATTTTCATCTCTACCCAATTCCAGATGCTTTGATAAAGGGGCTAAAGTGGGGATCTTAACCATTACAGCAAATTGGCTCTCTATTGCTCTAGATTCTTGAAACAGATTAAAAGAAAATGTCCTTTCTGGTTTTCAAGCCTCAGTCAAGCCTAATGGGAAAGCCAGATACTTAATTTTAAAAAAATTTTAAGGTACAAGCTGGGGTTTTTTGTGTATGTAGTTCAGGCGTACAAGATAATGACATCCCTGTTTGTGTTTCTCACAGTTGAAACAACTGTGCAGGCTGCCTACCTGCTTCTGAGCCTGGTTCAGTCGTGTTGGGGGGAGGGCAATAAAATCACTGAGAATTGAGGGTCTGGTCTGCTGGCCAGAGAGGCTCCAGAGGACGGGAGGGGGGAGGCTTCTCATCTTCTTGCTGTGCTCCTCGAACTCCTTGCTAAAATGCCCCCAGCCTTGGTCATGGTGAATCGCCTGGGCTTTTAGCTTCCATTGTGTTGTATTGAAATAACTTTTCTGCTGCAGTGTAGCATATAAATTAGTGAAAAATTAAAATAATGAATGTAGCTGGCGATGCCCAGAAACCGCAGGATAACTGAGGGATTTACCCCCTCCCAGGTTGAGGCTGCCCTTGCTGCAGCAAAGAAGGAAGCAGTTCAGGGGGTCTCTGCTGCTTGGCTGGCCAGCCAGGCCCCTCGGAAGACGCAGTTGCTGGATCTTGGGAAGGCCTCGCCCTGAACCGAACCTTTTGTTTTCCAGGTGGAGCGGTTAACCAAAGAATTCTCCATCTACATGACCAAGGATGGCCGCATCTCCGTTGCAGGCGTCACCTCGGGCAACGTGGCTTACCTAGCTCACGCCATCCACCAGGTGTCCAAGTGAACAGGGAGGATTGTCCGGATGGCTTCGTACTCTGGCTAGGCCGGGCGGAGAGTAGGAGGAGCAGCAGCAAGTAGCACAAGCATTTCCCTCGTTTTTCACCATCCGTCACTTGGCTGTGTGGTGTTCCCTTCCCCCCCTTCATCATTTGAGATGTCTTCTGGTCCTGTGTGCAAATGCTCCGGCATCCTCGGAGCTGGGCTGGGAGACTCTCGGACTCTTTGTGAGTGTAGCCATCCCCAGGACTACAGCTCCCATAAATAGCCAGCCTAATTTCCAATGCAGCCTCTTCGGTCTGCCTGCTTGGAGTGGACGTCCCTCTTCCAAGCTCTGTGCCCAGGGATTCAAAGCAAGCTCTTGAAGGACAAGTGGCTTTTTCTTTCTTGCTAGAAAAGGTTCCCCTTGTTCCTATGAAAGGAATATGAGGCATTTTTTTTCATTGCCCAATAGAAAGGAGTTAGCACAACAGTATTTTAAATTACTCACTGACACTTTTAATTCTGAATAACCAATCACACTTTAAATTGCCTTTCCTTTGGGGTCTTTGGGAAACCCCCTATTTAAAAATTATGTTTAGTGCTACTTCAGTTCTGGTAGAGTTAGTTGCTCAAAAGGTATGTGGGAGAACATCCACAGAAACAGAACACCGCATGTTAAGAAATGTGTCAAGACAGAAGTTACAAAACGGTTCCCCAGTGCAAATATTCGCACTGCAACCCCTCTACATTGCGAACACTTGTATGATGGAGCCCTGAATTTTATCATGTGTGTCTTAAGAACTTCTAAATGTCCCCAACCCCCCATCTGAAAGAGGGCAGGAGAAAGCGGCCATCAACTTATCAGCCAATGAGCTTTACTAGTTGCGTACCCGTCCTGTGCCTGGTTCATGCCAACCCTAGCATCCGCCCACCTGCACTGTGTGACTGTCCTTCAGAATCCCAAGTGGGGAGAGGCATTCTGGGAAACGGGGTGACCTGCACAGCTACAGAGATCAAACGCCTCCCGTGGCCCATCCACCCTGTGACGCCTCTTCTTAAATGAATCAGTGGAACAGTTAACGCCTCCATATTGAAAGTCAGGCCGCAGAAAGAGACACGTGGTAGTTGTGCACAGCGCCCTCTTCCAGCCTGGCAAGCAGGCAGGGTCCACCCCCCACCCGGGACCTGAGAGGTGGGCAACCTGCCACTTGTGGAGCTGCTGGGCTTCAGCCAGCCCTCTGAAGCCACCTGGCTCTGCCTTCCCTCCCTCCCTCTCTAATAAAGCTGCTGTACATCTGGAGCTGGTCTGCGATTCTTCTTTAGGCTTCGCCTTTCTTGGGACGCTGCGCAGGGAGGCGGCTGGGTTGTGGGGACCAGCAGTGGACGCAGAGGACGGCTCAGCCGGGCCTTGGCTCCACCAGGGAAGGCTGGGAAATGCGCTGGGCGTCCAGCGGCGCCTGGGCTGGCGCGTGTCGGGGTCTCCTTCCAAAGCGGGGCTTCGTTTCAGCCGCTCAGAGGCGAAAGGCAGAAAAGGGACGCCGAGATCATCTAGCCCACCCCACGACTGTCTGGAGTTCGGGGCGGGCGGGCCGGCAAAACAGCTGGGAAGGGGTTCCGTTTCCCAGCGTCCCGTGCGCGCCGGGGGTCGCTGCCGGGAGGGCGCCGCCGCGCAGGGTGATCGGGAGGGGCCGGGCGGGGCCCGGACTTCGCCCCGCGCTGGGAGGTCCGGCCGCCTCGCCCGCGGGCCTTCTGAGCGCGAGACTGCGGCGCGGTGAGACGCGGGGCTGGCGGGGGGGGCGTTTCGCGGGGGGGGGCGTCCCGGGAGGGAGCCTGGCCGCCCAAGGAGGCGCTCCTTCCCGGGCCGTCCCGACCGGGAGAAGTCGGGTCGTGTGAACGTGGCCGGAAAGAGCCCGGGCCGCCTGCCCGGCGATGCCCCTGCCGAGCCGCCGACGCGCCCCCTTTCCGGAGCCCCCGCGGGGCAGGAGCCTCCCTGGGCAACGCCCGCCGCCCCCGGGTCGGGCCTGGTGGGCTCCCACCCGAAGCCCCGGTGGCCATCGCGGCCTCTGGCCCAAGGGCCTGCGGGGCCTTCTCCGGCGGCGCCCGGGAAGGGCCTCCCGAGAGCGGTGGGCTCCGTCCTGCCCCGCGGCAGAGGCCGGAGAGCCGCCCTTTCCTGCTCGGGAGCCGCAGGCCACGCCTCGCGTTGTCCGCCGCTTGTGCCTGCCCCGGATCGCCGCTTCGTTCACGGCAGCTGATTTCGGGGCCGGTGGGGGCCCCCAAGCGACGGGGGGAAGAAGGCGCTGGGGGGGCGGATGGGGAGGCTGAGGGCGGCGCCCGGCTTCTCTCCCCAGAAACGTGGCCTGCGGGACCCTCCGCCTCGCCTGCAGCCTCCGGGCGGCCCGAGGGATGCGTGGCTTGGCTCCCGGGACAAGCCGGACTCTGCCGCCAGGAGAAGATGGCTCAGAGCCACGTGGGCATCAACAGGGACGATGGCGACTGGGAGTGGCGCGCGGACAGCAGCGAGCGGGCCCGGCTGCTGCAGAGCCCCGGCGCAGAGGAGCCCCGGCCTGCCTCCACCTCCACCTCCATGCTGGGCGCCGTCTTCATCGTGGTGAACGCCGCGCTTGGCGCAGGCCTGCTCAACTTCCCCGCCGCCTTCCGGATGGCCGGCGGAGTGGCAGCTGGGATCGCCATGCAGATGGTGAAGGGTCCTTCTCGGTGCTGCCCGCCCAGAGCCAGCGTTACGGCTCTTCCTTTACCTGTGGGAAAGGCTTCTCTTCCTGCGCCTCAAAAGGGACTTGCCCTTGGCGGGAGTCAGACAGACGCTGCAGGCTCCCCAGTGGCCCAGCAAGCATCGGCCACTCTGGCTGCCCTCCATGGACCAAAACTGGGGAGCAGAGTGAACTTCACCTGGGGCCCCCAAGCAGCCGGTGCTGGCCCAGGGCTTATTGCCAGCCTGAGTGTTCCCAAGGAGCGAGAGGAGGAGGGCTCTGTAAGCCAGACACAAGCACCAGAAGGGCCAGTGCAGACTCCCTCCATGAATGCCCTTTGGGGTCCCAAAGGGCCTGGCCTGAGATCCTGCATGCAGCATCCATTCATAGGACAGAAAGCTTGTCCTGTGGAGAGGGGTTGCCTTGCCCCCCCTTTGCTGCAAACTGTGTGTCTGTGTCTTGCAAGGGCTGCTCCTTCCCAGCTAACGCTGCCCTTTTTTGCCTCCCTTGCAGGGGCTGCTGCTCTTCATTATTGGCGGACTGGTCATCCTGGCCTACTGCTCCCAGGCCAGTAATGAACGCACCTACCAGGAAGTGGTATGGGCTGTTTGTGGCCGAGTCCTGGGTGTGCTGTGTGAAGTGGCCATCGTGATCTATACCTTTGGCACCTGCATTGCCTTCCTCATTATCATTGGGGATCAGCAGGACAAGAGTGAGTGTGGCAGTGGACCCCATGGGGTGCTCTCTCTCTAGACTTCTCCCTGGTCCCATCTTGGGCGACATCTTTCTTTTGGCAGCCCACTTTGAACTCCAGACATAATCAAGCAGGCCGACCCCCATTTTTCACCTTCCGTATCTCCTCTGAGGCTGGTGACCTCAGCACTTCTCGGCTTCCAGTTAGAATTTCTCCACGGTTTCTCAGTCCCCTGGTGTTGGCACAAGCACTTTTCTCGGCAGACTCATCCTGCTAATAAGGACTTGCTCGTTGGCCTGGGCCCTTGGATGCCAACTTCTCTTTTTGTGTCTCCGGAAGTCATTCCAGTCCTGATAAAGAGCTGCGCCAAAGAAGGGAGGAACTGCTGGTTCACAGATCGCAAATGCACTATCAGCATCACGGCCATCCTCTTCATCCTTCCATTGTCCATTCCCAAAGAAATTGGGTTCCAGAAATACGCCAGGTACCTGCAGTTGGGGGGGGGTCTGCTACTGGTGTCCATATCCCGCAAAGGGCCAACCCACACATGGTGGGCTTTTTTGATGCTCCCTCAGCTCAGCCTCTTAGCAACTCTGGCAGGTCCAAGAATTCTGGTTTTCTGTCTGCCAGATGCCGCTGCTGCTGCTTGCCTTTGGCTTGGAGGTTGTCTGTCTTCCTGTGTTCACCCCTTTCTCTCCACCTCCACCCACAAACTTGCTTTCAATTCTGCTTTATAAGACAAACTCCAATGGGTTTTCTTTCGCCGCAGCAAAAGTCTGGATCCCAGAAGGGAAAATCCTATATGTTCATCCTGAATGCCTTCCACAGGCTTGTTCTTCTCCAGGCCGGCAACCTCTCCCTGTACTAAGTTAAAATCATATACTGCTCAAAAAAATAAAGGGAACATTTTAACATGGAACTGAAGGAGTTTGCGTTCCCTTTATTTTTTTGAGCAGTATATTTAACCTAACTTAAAGGAGCCAGTTTTGCCTAGTGGTTAAGGCATCAGGCTAGAAAGGGGGAGACTGTGAGTTCTAGTCCCGCCGTAGTTATGAAGATTAGCTGGTTTTTCCTCTTTTAGTCCTCACAGCAGTGGTTGTTGTAGGACAAAGAGGAGGAGGAGGAAGGTATTTGGATATGTCCATCACCTTGAGTTATTTAAAAGTAATAAAGCTAAGATACAAATAAATAAACTTAAAGATGAGAGAAGTTGCATAAAGAAGCAGTTATTTTTAAATATATTTTTATTAAACATTAATAAATATCAGGTGTGTATTAACATAAATCCATAGAGAATAGAAAAAGAGAGAAAAAATAGGAAATACAAGAGATCTGCTGCAAAGAGCCTAGACAGGTACTGTCACAAACATTTGCCGTCTGTCTGAAGTGTAGCAGAGGATAATCGGTTGCCACTGAAATAAGAACTATAAGAACTGTCCAAATTTGATAAGCGTGGTTCCTGTCTCTGATGTTTCATTAATTTTAACTATGATTTGTTTGTAGCAGTTAAAGACACCTAGTTAATTCACAATTCTTTTATGTTATCCTGAGTTTTCCAATGTTGAGTAATTATTATTTATAATGCTCAGTGGTTTAGTAAGCCTTGCTCTGGGGAGCATTCAGTTCTCGGATGAGTGAAAACACTTACCTCCCCAAAGATTTTAGAGTATAATTTTATTGCATGATCACCACAAATGAAAGACTGACCCTTTTGTTTTGACAACCTCTTGAATGTTTGGAAGAATAATTTTGATATATTTGTGCCAATCTAACAGGAATCAGGTGCCAATGATATGTAATCTTCTTGCATTGAAGCTGAAGTCAATCAACCCGGTTTTCATAACTTTTGCCAATTTATCTCCTGTGTGGGATTACCAAGATGCGTATCTCAAGCTTTCTTTAAATCATTCTTTAAATCAATAGGATCTCCTGCTTCTGATTGCAATACACATTTTTGAAATTTTGGGCATTGAAATAAAGTATATATGAAATGTTTCTTGTTGATCACCACATCCCTAAATTTTGCTCACTTTCAGCTGCTTGAGTGTGATCGGGACCTGGTACGTCACAATTGTCGTCATCATAAAGTACTTTTGGCCTGATCAGGTGATCTCCCCAGAGGAAATCACCACCAGGTACATCTGGCCGATGGGAGGGGGGAGCTCTTGGCTGAGACCTTCTGCACTCTCTTCTGATCAGGAGCTTGTGGGAGGAAGACTCCAGCCCCAGCTAACCCAGCTCCTCTTCCTCCCACAGCCCTGCTTCCTGGGTGTCTGTCTTCAACGCCATGCCCACCATTTGCTTTGGCTTCCAGGTAATGCTCAAGCAGCTACCCCCCCCCTCCCCGGCCCTTGCTGGCGGTTTGAATGAGTCCCTTCATATGATCCTTGTTGGAGGGGGAGGTAATATGCTTCTCAGGATCTTGAGGCACCCTTTAGTTCCTCTGTATCTTTTCTGTGTGTCAAACAAAGCCAGTCTGAAATGGGTTCCGGGCTGGTCGGGCCGGCACACATATAACTCGAGTGGCTTTTCAGTTGTCCTCCGAATTGGATCAGATTTTTTTTCCCCGCATGATTGCAAATTAGTGATGTGACGTGCTGGGTATTACAGCTGAATGAATGTCTTTTGCAGCTACAACACCAGTTTTAAAGCTTTTTGGATCAGTGGTTTTCCAAAGGGCCAGAAGTGAGTGATGGGAGTCAAAGGGCCAGAGGGTCATTTTGTGTCAGAGAAATTTCCTAGCTGAGCACAAGAGGAAACACAAAGGAGGAAATCGCCATTCTTATTACTTCAGCCTGTGAAGGATTATAGAGGAAGCGAGGGTCTTTTGGGGCTGTGGCTCCCACATGAGCTGACCACTTCCTGAGCAGTGATTTAGGGAAGCAGACAGATGAAAACCGACCTGGTTGCGTCTGAAAAGAAAGGGCAGTTGGAGATCCCGAGAGGGCGCAGGGTGGCCTGCAGGCATCTGCCCTGCGTGGGTGTTCTCTGGGAGTGAAGAAGCAAGGATTCAAAGTGACGGCCTGGGAAAAAAGGCAAAGGCCGCATGTGGCAGATGGAAGAATTTCTCTTATGTCAAATAGGGCTTGTAAGTGGCCCTGTATTCAATCCAATAGCATGATCTTTTTTTAAATATATTTTATTACTATTTTACAATGTGTGTATATATATATGTGTGTATTAACCATATTCAAACAAGTGTTTAGTCATATAATATTCCCTTTGATATGTTGAATCATGTTTCTTGACTCCAACTCTAGTCTTCTTTTGCCATGTCGCTTTCCAAGTCAGAAAGTTTAGCTTGCCAGGTTGTATTTTTATGAGTGTTGTTGGGGACAAAAAAAATAAGTAAAGTATCAGTTTTTTGTCTCCCATGTTGTGATGATTCTTCTGACTGCTCTTTAATCCATTTTATTAGTTTTTCTTTTGTATCCTCAAATTTGTTTTGAAATCCTGGAGGATAAAGCATCTTTTTTGTCTTTATTACAGTGAGGTTTTGCAGATTTTTTTTCTTTGTATTAAATTGTAATTTTCTTCATTTGTAGCTTAATATTTGATAGTGGCAAGGAATAGCTGCCAGGCTAAGTTAAAAAGGGTAATGGCAGTTAAAATTATTCTTAGCTACTGGAATGAAACGCAGGTAGTAAGTACCTCATCATTTGGTTAAGGAGGATGTTTTTCCAGGAATTTTGGATTCCTAGTTGTGAATATAGATGTTTCCAAATCAGAACCAAAATGGATGTCCATCTGTAGTGGACATCCTCAACTACCATAATGCCCGCCTGAATGGACAAAGGACTTGGGGACCTGGTGCAGCAGACTCCAGAGTTCTGGTTGGGGATGGGGGCCCGGGTCCTGTTGCCCCAAAGCAGCTTCGCTGTCCCTCCTCAGCCAGGACAGCTACTAAGCCTTTTCCTCCCCTTTTGTAGTGCCACGTCAGCAGCGTGCCCATCTTCAACAGCATGAAGTCCCCGCAGGTAAGGTCCTGGGGAGTCGTCGTGACAGCAGCCATGGTCATCGCCCTCTTTGTCTACATGGGCACAGGTAGGGAGCAGATCCTGAAACCTAGCTGCTTGTTCTGTCCAGTTGCTTCTGCTTTGGCCGAGGCCCTGGCAGAAGCAGCACCTGGTGTTCCCATGGCCTTCCTCTGTCTTTGCTAGGGGTCTGTGGCTTCCTGACCTTTGGCGAGAGTGTGCAGCAGGATGTGCTGCTCTCCTACCCCTCGGATGACATCCCAGTAGCCATCGCGCGGGCCTTCATCATCCTTTCTGTCCTGACCTCTTACCCAATCTTGCACTTCTGTGGCAGGTGAGCAGGCTGGCCGGCTGGGGGATGTGGGAAGGGGTGTCTGCTGACCCTTCCGAGGTCTTCCTCCTAGAGCTGTCCTGGAAGGTCTATGGTTGCGCTACAAAGGGGAAACTGTGGACGAAGATGTGGCTCAGGAGAGACGCCGACGCCTGTTGCAGACCTTCTGCTGGTTCCTTCTCACCCTCCTCCTGGCCTTGTTCATTCCGGACATCGGCAGAGTCATCTCGGTCATTGGGGGGCTGGCTGCCTGCTTCATATTTGTCTTCCCAGGTAGGGAAAAGGTTTCCTGGCTGGCAGGTGCAACGCGGCTTCTGTTTGGGTTCCCCGCTGCAGGACGGTAGTCTTCTCCGTGCCGGTGCTTGGATGGCCTGCTGGGCCAGGCTGCAGCCAGCTCAACTCAGCTTTGGCCATGGGGACAGAATTGGAGAGAAAGGCGGCCATGGCTGCCCCTGAAGAGCCACCTCATGTTCCCTGGAGCAGAAGACAAGGCCGGGGAGGGGGAGCAAGAGCCTGGCAGAGGACAGGCAGGGTGTCTTCTGCACTCTCGGGACGAGATGGGAATCCCCGTCTGGCCTTCTGATTGCTGCGTGGCAGCTGGCCAGTCTTGCCCAGGTCTGACCCCTGAAGGGAGTTGATTTCTGCCTGGCTAAGAAACTTGCCCTGTGCAGCAGGAAGTCATGGAGCACAAATGTAAGAGTGCTTCCTCTCAACCAGAAGGTGCTCTCGATGAGACTCGTTCTCACTGGGATCGAGTAGACTCGAGCTCTGGGGCCACTGTGAGACCATTGATAGGCTGCCAAATTCTGCTGCTATGTTTTTTCCTTGCCAGGACTCTGCCTCATCCACACCAAACTTTCTGAAGTTCAGGGAGCTGGAGGAGTGAGGTAAGAGAGGTGCTTGGCCCTGACCCATTATCACCTCCCTGCTGTCCTTGCTGGCCTGACTGTGTTTTTGTCTCCTCATCTCAGCTGGTGGATGGTGGTCAGCTATGGGATATTCATGGTTGTCCTTGGCACTTTCATCTTTGGACAGACAACAGCTAATGCTATCTCCATGGATCTCAGGAAGTGATCCACCAACTCTACTTCATTGGATCTAGATAGTCCCCTGTGGACTTTAAGTAGCCAAATTGAAATCCCAGTTTGGGGGATACTTTGGCATTAACAAAAGATGAGCCTTCCTTCGTTTTTCTGGTCAACTCACTTCTCTGGTTTCCAGTTGTTGTTGGGAGTAAGGCTACTGGCCTTCTCCCGTGCGCCCCCCACCCAAAAGAGGCCCATGGACTTCAGCAGCTGAGGAGGACATCTCTTCGTTTAGCCAAGAAGCTCAGCTTCTCTGTTTGGACCAAGGATGGAATAAAGTGAATGTATTTGATTGTAATTATTGTGACATCAAATATGTAAAAGAATGAGAAGCTTTGGGAACTCTCTCATCCAGAATGGGAGAGCAAGGCACCCCAGGGTTACATTTACTTCAAGATTAAAGCGACCAAGACGGCCTCACGCGGCGGGGGGGGAAAGGGGTGCCCGACTGGGAGCTTTATCGGGAAGCCTCCTGGAAGCCAGGCACGGGGGCTCGGTTTCCGCTCCCTCACCAGACCGTCGCTTCCGGACGGGCGGCCGATGGCCCGCGGAGGCAGATGAGGCGGCTCTTGGGCCTCGGCCGGAAGCGATGCGTCGGCAGGCGCCCTCCTGCGCCGGAAGTAGTCCGCACGGGAGCTGAGCCGTCCGGTGTGGGCGCCCGGCCTGCTGTCTTCATGGGGGGCCCGGGCGGCGGCGGGGGCGGCTTGGAGAACGCCAACCCGCTGGTCTACCGGCGCCAGGGCGAGCGGCCCACCACGGCGCGCGAGCAGGATGAGGGGCTGCCCGACGCCATCGACGCCCGCGAGATCTTCGATATCCTTTGGCGAAGGGCGGGGGGGGGTCGGGGTCCCTGGCGCGCCCAGCCCAGCCCACCTGCCCGCCCTTCCTTGACCGAGCACATCTCATCCGCGGCATCCACGACCCCGAGCACCCGCTGACCCTGGAGGAGCTGAACGTGGTGGAGCAGCTCCGCGTGCAGGTGCGGAGGCCGAGCGCGTGAGGGGTGAGGGGTGCGCGGCTCCCCCCCCCGCGCCCGGCGCCGCTCTGAGCCCCCCTTGTGCCCCCTGGCAGGTGAGCGACGCCCAGAGCGCCGTGTCGGTGGAGTTCACGCCCACGATCCCGCACTGCAGCATGGCGACCCTCATCGGCCTCTCCATTAAAGTGAAGCTGATCCGGTCCCTCCCGGAGAGGTTCAAGGTGGGCGACGGGGGCCAGGGAGGGCCGGGGCAGCCCCCGGACTTTCCTGCGTGCCGCCCTCGCGGGGACAGAGGAGCCCCGGCGCGCAGATCCGTGGAGGACAGCAGCCGTTGGAGCCCCACCCGGGACCCCGCGGGGAATTTGGGAGCTCTGTTCCAGCCTCTCTGTTCCCACCCACGAGCTCTTCCTCCTGGGAACTTCTGGCCGGCCGGGCCCTCTGAGAAAGAGCGCTGGTCCTTTGGATACCCAGCTGCTTGCTGGTATTCAGAAAGATCAGGTTTACTGCCACTTTTTTCCTACCTCATGTTTGCTGTCAAACTCTAAATCAACAGTTTAGACTAGAGTATGACAACAAGAAATCGGGTACTTTTCTCTTTTGGATCTCATATAGATCTCTCAATGGTGCTCTTTTTGTTGTTAGACTAAGGCAGTTGAAGGGCTCTGAAAACTCCTGCTCATGCTCTATCATCATCCAGTAAAAGAAGAAAATAGGTAGTAGCCTATTCTGCCAGTGGCTACCAGTGCAGCTTGTGGAGCAGAGGTATAGATTGTGGAGCGTGCACAACTGCCCAAACAGCATATTGAAGCTCTCGAATCCTTTTCAGAGGTAGCTCCATTGTAGAGTGAATAAAGCATGACTACTAGAGCAGGTCGAGGAATGAATGGAATTGGCACACAACACGCAGTTGTCCAAAGGCCATGGCCGCTGCCACCTGTTCTTTGAACAGAAGGTATGAGAATGAGAAAAGGATGGTTATTGATGGCTTTGAATAGTGTTGATAACCACATTGCCATGTGCCGTTTATGGGCACCTGCAAGACAAAGAGACCTCCTATGATGTCACCTTTGGTTTCCACACAGCCCCTCACTTCATTTCAGCAAGGAATCATCCATCATTATGATTTGCCCTCTTTCTCAAGGTGGCTGTTGGGCTTCTTAGATCCATGGGGGTCCAAGCACCTTCCGTAATATTGCATACAATGTTGTTCAGGTGGCTGCATCCAGAGAGCCTGATAGTTCTTGGTTTCTGTTAACCCTGATCTTGTTGTTTGGCAAAGAGAAGGCGCTCTCAGAATGGTTGGGGAAATAAACATGCAGAGAAAAGAGAAGCAGGTTTGAGGGGGGAAGAAAAATAATCCAGTTGCTCCAATAATTAAAATATATGCATTGTCATTTGATTTATATTTAGGTTTGCAATATCTATCTTAAGATTTGGCTAACCTATTTTTCTTTCTGTTCAAAAAGTCAACTTTAATTGGCATCTTGTGTACTCGGGAAAAATTACTTGATTTTTCCATAAAGGCCCTTCATGTCACTGGGAGAAATAGGTTCTTTGTGGTAGTGCTTTTTCCCTCTTCCCTATCCTATTTCCTCTAGTCCTTGCCCCTCCCTCCCATCCAAGGAGAACTGAATGAAGCTGAGCCATGGGTAATACTTGACCTGGAAAATCAGAATTGTTTTTTCTGAAAATTAAAACTAAGGGAATTATTGCAATGAAAGGATTGTTACATCCCTTTCAGGAGGATGCACAAACTGGGTGAGAGGTCCTTTGGTGCTCTCTAGGCTTGGTTGTTTTCTTGCAGACGTTTCATGACCCAAACTAAGTAACATCATCAGTGCTCTGGGTAACTTGAACTGCCTGTCTCCTTTTCAGGTGGATGTCCACATAACACCTGGGACGCATGCTTCTGAGCATGCAGGTAATAATGTTTTATTTTTATGTTTCATGTTCAGTACACATCTTGACGAGGTTGAGTTGAGGATATTCAGCTGCTCAGATGCAAAAGAGAAAAGATGCTTCAGAGAGAATTCAGATGCACTTATTGCCCATTTTCAAAAGTGCCTTTTTCTGGTCCCTCTGGCCTCTGTGTGAGACCAGGAAAAAAAAGTGCAGCAGGAGCATTAGAGTTCCTCTGAAATGGCTTTTGCTCTTTGGGTCCCAAAAGCTGCACATCCCAACTTGCATTTTTGCCAAAGAGCTGCCAGACAGGGACTGTCTTGTCATCCTCTGCTGACAGGGCAGATTCATTTCCAAGAGGTTTTGCTTTGTGCTTGGGATTATTGGTTCTTTAGAAATGCCCATTTAATTATCTTAAACACTTTAATATGAATCGGTTTTAATTTATGTTCTACCTTCATATTGTATCTTTTTTTTTGTTTTTGCAAAAATAAGAGTCATATATTTGAGCCTCTCTGAGGCAAAATGCACACATTTGTATTGTTCAAATGTTAAATATAAGTTGGTAAACATTTTGCTGGTTTTGGGGGGAAATGGGGAGCTCATAAACTGCTTGTTTGCCGGTTGTCCTTAGCTGGGCAGGGTGGGAGAAATGACCCATCTCTTCTACTAAACATGGCAACAATCTAACTGAAACTATCCCTGAACTCTGCTCTTCCACAGTAAACAAGCAACTTGCTGACAAAGAGAGAGTAGCGGCTGCCTTAGAGAACATGCACTTGCTCCAGGTGGTGAACCAGTGCTTGTCGGGACGATCTTAGTGCCTCTGTGTGTGTGTGTGTCTCTCTCTGAGCATCTGGTGGAGGCCAGCTTCTTGATGAAAAAAGGTCTTTCACTTGTCGTCTGTCTACGCTGGAGTAAAAAAAAAGTAGTTCCTTAGCAAAAAGGCCATTTAAATTTTTTCACTTGAGTTGGCAATAAATGTGGTTCTAAAATATGCCATTTGAATAGAGGAAGATGCTTGTAATAATTAACAAAAGCCTTATACCTTCCAGTCAAATAGGTCTGTTTTTAAAAACCTCCAGTGATGGACCATCGACAACTCTGGGAGACAAGTGATTCCATTCCATTACTCTGTTACTCTGTATTCTGTAAATTTCAGCACCATAAGCTGTCAGCAAGGAAGTGTTCAGAAAGGGGTTCAATGAAATATAATTTCATTTAATACATGGGTACAAATCCTTTATTTCCTGTGTTTGAAAACAGAATATATCTGCCATTAAAACTTCTTTGGATAATTGCTGTGTCGATATTAGAATTAGATTCTTTTATGATAGTTTATGGTGTTAATATTGCCTAACTATGCTACGGTGTTTTTGGAGGGATGCTATAGTTGGCTCTGTTGGCCATTGCCTGCCAGGGAAGTTTTACTGTTGATGAATGGTTATAAACCCTTTCACCTCCCTTGGAGATTCAGCCTCTTCAGATGGAATAAACAAAAGCCTTTCCGAAAGCTGCTGTCAAGTCAAATTGTTAATGTGACAAAAGGGGGAAATTATAATTATATTCAATTAGTTTAGTTTCAACTGAATTTAAATCAGATGGTTTTTTGGGGGGTCCTGTTTAACTTTTTTATCTATTTACATTTGATAGGACATCAAAGGCCAGGTCTAGTCCTTCATCTGAAAAAAAAGTCTTAGCACTGTAATTCATTCTGCAAGATGCATTAGCTGTGGGACAGCCTGGAAGTTTGCCATTTTAGTCCCAACTCATCTACGAGGTATCGGACTGAAAAAGCTGAGGAAGAGGGTCAGGGGTTGCAAGCAATGTTTGAACAGCAAAAAGCCAACTGGCAGGTCTGCCCTTTGTCTTGAGGATGGAGAGACTATTACACTCAAGACCAGGCCTGACCGGTCCCAGCCACCCACTATAATCCTTGCAGGGCATAGGGCCACCAGGCTATTGAAGGCTGCTTTTGAAGAGCAGGGCAGGCGGTTTTCTCAATCCTCAACAGCAAGAAAAGGCAGAAAAAAATCATCCACCCACCCTCAGGTTGCTAAATGAAAGAAGATCCTGCTCCTAAGAAGCCCACCAGGACAGACTTGGGCATCAGAATTCTTTTCTGTACCAGACAGCCTTGGAATTGTCTCCCTGTTAAAACCAAGAGCTTTCTTTAAGATAGGAAAGCTTTTAAGGGACTGCATTGGTTTTATGATGATGGCCCATTTCTAGGGAAAATCCTTGCCATCTCCCCACCACGAGTGACTACTTGCCAAGTGGCTTATCAGTCTGACTCTGCATCCTGATCTCCTTCTCTATTCTTGGATCCAAATATGTTTGGCTCTTCTTAGATTTAGCTTAAATTAGAAGAAGAATAAGGACATCTATGCAACATCTTACATTGGGGCGAAAGGCCAGGGAGAATTGGTTAGTTATGGTTTGGAAGGCAAAACTGGTTTTGCTACTGAGATACGGTCCAGGCCCAGACACCCAGACATTTGGCCCAAGTATCTGGCTGGAAACCAGCCCTGGGCAGACTTCAGTTCTGCGTGTTCTTCTGTGCATTTTCTAGAGTCCAGAAGTCCACCGATGGCAAACATGCTATCTGGTGGTGGTAGGACAGGTATGCTGAGGGTTAAGGTGCAAGAGCGCTTCTTGACTCGTGCTCAGTGAGGAACTGAAGGGGGGGGGTGAGGGAAGGAAGGCTTTTTGTTGCCCTTGTAAAATTATTTGGCGTCTGAAATTCTTGGGATCTGCTGTGATTAACTCAGAAATTAACCAGCATCTTTCCAGGCTCTCTTTAGCCACCTGTGGCCTTTGTCAAGAACAACTAGGCCAGACTGAAAGTTCACTCAATTACAGATATAATTTCAAACACTATTGGAGAGTAAGGAATACCACAGTCATACTGAAAAACTTCTGCACCTGCCATTAAGCAGCAATTTTTAAAAATCTTTTATCTTTCGGCCATCTGGAGATCACTCTCAGTTGGCTCAATTGGAGAACCCCAAAAATATTGCCTAGGGATATTTTAGCAAGTTCCAAACCATCTATACTAACCTGTCTACAGAAGAAAGGCATGGTCCAGACATTGATCTTTGTCAATCTGCTTAAAACATCTCTGGCTGAGAGCAAAGTTCCATGAGAGGTAGCTGAATTCTCTCTTAGGGCATTCAAAAGATGTGGCCTTGCTCTGATCGCTTCATTTAACAGTCAAAACTAGAAACCCCCAATAAACAAAGAATAAATAGAACACACGAGCCATTGATTTGTTTTCAGCAGGTCAAAGTCCAACAAAATTCTCCTTTGGGACTTCAGGCATCTTAATGAGAGCAGAGTCTGTCCAGCGATGCTGCAGAGGTGGCAGGCAGCAAGCTCACTCCGGCATCAGCTGTTCTAGTTCTTCATCACTGAGACTATTGGTGGCAACAATGTGGTTGAGCTGCTGCATGTACCGTTCAAGGTCCTGCATGAAGTGGGGGATTCGGGCCTTCTCCAGCACCCCGTATTTCTTCAGATGGTCCACATCTTCATAAGAGACCTGAACGAAGGACATTTTCATGTTAGCTCACTGACTGGATTTCAATCTCTACCTAGACCAGTGGAAAGGGCAGGGCCAGGCACTGGTTGCCACCCAACAGAGCCACAGGGTTCTTATTTGTTTTGGGGTCTCCCAAAGCCATTCACTGGGGGGAAATGCATAAACATATAAACCTATGTATGAGTCATCCTGGATTTTAAGTGTGATGTCTTCCATTCCCGTTGAGTTTTGCTTCAAACCTGGCAACTAGTGTGATCCTTTGGGCCAGTTTTTAGAAGAAATGTGGCTGCTAAGGTTAGGGGGACTTTACGGCAGTCTGTTAAAATTACGTCCGTTGCAAATATTGTTTTCCAAGGTGTGGACAAATGACAAAATAGATCCTGGGTGTTTAGAGAAATATTTCTCAGAGAATGTTGATCCTTGCTCACTTGGTGTGAACATCACTTAAGTCCAAGCTTGCACTAGGCAATGGAGTTTTTAGGGGGGAAAGTGGCCCCCTTCCTCTCAAAAACAAACGTCTCAGCAGTTGTGAAATGGGAGATCCAAGATGCCCCCCAGCCAGCCCTTCCTCCTTGCCCTCCCGTTGCCCAACCGTCTCCACTGGGAGGGCTGTGCCAGAGAAAAGCGAGTGGGTTCTGCGTACCTTCCCCAGCGCAGCCAGCAACCGGAAATCAATCGTTTGTCGATGCCGGAGGATCTGGAGGATTCCTTCCAGGTACACCTGATCTTTGCTGAAGCAGCCTGCAAACGAAGAAGAACCAGCCAAAACTGAGAGCATGATCGAAACTCCTGCTTTCATTTCAGAGCCTGGCACCACAGACATCCCGCCAAGGTGCCAGGGGAGCCTTCTGAAACGGGCTATCTGCCTGTTGCCTCTGGAAAAGGTTATCCAGGAATCCTTTTGGACTTGGAAGGAAAGAGAACCTCGGAAACTGGGAAGGAAGAGGTTTCTATAGCGAATCTTTTGTTTGCTCTGCTTCTTTCTCTCCCCCCCCCCCCCACGCTTTTGAAAACTTGTGAGGAGAGAAAGAGGTGGCCTTGGGGGAGGGGGGGGGCAGAATGGAGGGCGGGTAGGCAGGCACTTCCCTGCATTCTCTCCCAGGGACCAACTAGCTAGAAAGTCCGAAGAGAAGGCACAGGGAGGCCAGCTGGCACTTGGTGGTCAGGAGGGGCAGAAAGGCTCAAGGGTGCTGCACCCCCACCTGGCAATGAGGTGTCGGCCTGGCCTCGCTTGGCTCGCACGCAGTATTCCCACCGCACCCCAGCATCCTGCACGAAGCGCCCCAAGTCCTGGAAGAGTTCGCAGAAGGACATGCGCCCGGCCTGGCAGACGGTGTAGTAGAGGAGGGCGGCCCTCCAGAGGAAAGGCTGCTTGCGGAAGAGGACACTGTGCAGGCTGGCCAGCCCTTCCTCCGTGGGGTTGGCGGGCTTCAGGCAGTATTGCTTGCGGCCTTCTGAGCTGTGCCATGGCTGGGAGGCATTGTTGACTCCGCGGATATAGTGAGTGCCTAGGAAAGAGGATGTGGCTTATTCCAGCAATAATCTCATTTCAATAGTAAAAAACCTTCCTCCACACCCACCCCGGCAGCAAGCACAATCACATCTGGGGTCTCCAGGCTCACTGACAGAACCACATCTTCAGGGCCTTCCATAAAAATATCAAGTAGGAGCCAATCCTATCTCAGGCATGGGATTCCAGGAAGCACACGGAAGCTTCAGCTGGTTGAAAAGGCTCACACATTTTGAAATTTCAATTTGTGTGTGGGTCACCTTTTTTGTTAGACCTGCGTTGGTTACTGATTTGGTTCTGGGTGCAATTCAAGATGCTGGTTATTACCTTCAAAGTCCTACATGGCTTGGGGTCAGGTTATTTGAAGGACCACCTCTCCCCAACCGATTAAAGCGGAAAGGCGTGGCATGTTATGGGACCCATCAGGGAAGTACATCTAGTAGGACCCAGAAGGGCCTTTTATGTGGAGGCTCCCTCTTCCTGGAATCCCATGCCTGAGATAAGATTGCCTCCTACTTTGATATTTTTATGGAAGGCCCTGAAGATGAGGTTCAGTGAGCCTGGACACTCCGTGGACACTTTGGGCTTAGCTTAAGAGTTACCATTTATGCATTCCTAGCAAGAGCTATGAATTCAGAGAGACCCCCGGACTGCACACCACTCTTGAATGGGAAATGTGGAACTTCCCCAATCCTGGAAACACCCAGGACTGAGTTAGAGACAGTTGTTCCCATCCATATCTGCACAGCCTCCAGACACCAGGATGGAACCTGGACAGCCTTGATTGGCCAAGCCAGGATTGAAAGATACAATGAGGTGTCATCAGCATATCGTTTCATGTCATTGTGGAACATGAGGGGAAAGAGGATAGAAGCTGCAGCACCCTACAATGGAAAGGCTCTGTGCCCCAACAACTTAAACTGGTCCTGGAGGAAGAAACAGAACTCCCATGAAACAGGATCCTCCCCCCCACCAGCCCAGGTAGCCGGCTCAGAAGGTATTGAAAGCCACCAAGAGATCAAAGAGAACACGGACAGATGCACCGAAGGTCAGCCACAGGCTACACCAAGGCTGTCTCAGGACTTCATTGTGGTCTGAAACATGACTGTCCCGTCCAGCTTCCTCTGCCTCAAATCTTTACTCCCATCTAGTGTCATTTTTGAAATTATAAAATTGCTTATCTTTCTTTTGTCTTGTAAAAACCAAAACTGGATCCCACAAGAAGCTGTTTGTTCTACATAATTAATTCAAAAATCCTATTATAAAAGTTTAAAGCATTCCAATTTTATCTGGACCTTAGAGAGTGAAGATGGATGAGCATCGCCCCAGAGGAAGGAAAGGGAGAGGAGGAGGAGGAGGAGGAGGAGGAGGAGAAAGCTGCCACTGGTAGTGACTGAGAAAGTGGTATCTGAGGGCTGAGTTTTGTGGATTCATCTGAACAACTCGACCCAGATTTTCATACAGGTAGACCTCAACTGTTTTTTCCCCCATATATTTTCATTTGTTCTCTAATATACGATAGCATCAAGAGAGTAAAAGAATGGAAACGGAAATGGGCTGGTCACATAGCAAGAAGGCAGTCCTAGAAAGGATCTCACTTGATAAAAGGCGTCTACAAAAAAGACCTAAAACAAGATGGAGAGACGACATCAGCCAGTATGGCGGGCCCAGTTGGCAAAGGAAAGCCCAGGACCGTATTGGTTGGAAACTTGTGGAAGAGGCCTTCATCCTGCAGTGGACAGACAGTGGCTAGGATGATGGTCCTCAATGTACAACCATTCAGTGACTGTTCGAAGTTACAATGGCACTGAAAAGAGTGACTTGCAACTGCTTCTGACATGACCATTGCAGCTTCCCCAGGATCAAAATTCGTATGCTTGGCAACTGACTCATATTTATGACAGTTGCAGCATCCCAGGATCATGTGATCAACTTTTGCGACCTTCTGACAAGCAAAGTCGATCGGGAAGCCAGATTCACTAACAACCGTGTGGCTAAATTGACAACTGCAGTGATTCAGTTATTAACAACTGATCCACAGTTAACAACTGTGGCAAGAAAGTGGACAAAATGGACAAAATTCACTTCACAATTAAGTTACTCAGTAATTGAAATTTGGGGCTTAATTGTGGCCACAGGTTGAAGACTTAAGCTGTATTGCCAAAACTTCCCTACAAAATATAAGCCACACTTGGAGTTTTTACACTGGAGCTGGATAAACTAGTTCCAGGTTGGATCAAACCTAGAGTTGTGGTTTTGCTTTCCTTGGAGTTTCTTTAAATCTGAAGCTTCAACTAATTCAGAAAAAGAAAAACCTCTATGTCGCTTCTCAACTTGCGAAGGCCAAGGTGTTTTATGACTTTCCCAACGATCTAAGTTCACTTTTAAGGCCTCTGGCAAAAGTGGGAGAGAGATTTCAGGGCTGACCTATCTCGTGGCGCAGCATGCCCTCCAGCCAGTTCTGACGAGCGCCAGAGAGGTTGATTGCTAAAGTTGGGCGGCTGTTTTCCACCATCATGACCGCTTGGGAAAGGAGGTCTTCTGTGAGCTGAACCACCACCTGGAGAAAAGGAGCAGAAAGAAGATAATGGAGACCAGGACATCTCAGGAGGGTTCCCTATGGGGGCAGAAGCCCAGCACTCACCTCCCCAGAGCAGCCTTCCTTCTGCATGTACTTCCTGGTGATGGACCAGATTTGGCATTTGGTAAGTAGCTTTCCACCATTGGAGGCCTCAAAGCTCTCATAAGTACCGTATTTTTTAAGGACAGCATTGATTATTCCAGTAGCCTGCAACAGATACATGAAGTGGTTATCACAAACTCCAGGCTTTGCTCTGGTTTGGGGTGGGACCAGTTAAGGCTGCCCTGAACATCCAGGTAGCTGACCTGAAGTCTGGATTCACAAATCTCACTAGACTAAAAAAATACTGGGATGATTCAGGGGGTTATGGAATCATTCCTTATATTATCATGTTATTTGAATTAAGTCATCACTTTAAGTAACTGTAGTTGATTATGGGGGGGCCTCTCGTGTTCTCTGAACACAGAAATGTTTCGCTAGTCCAAGTTTAGGGGTTTGGGACATTATATGAAACTAGACACCATTTTGCAACATAATTAATACCACCAGGGGATAGAACTGGAGAAGCTCAGAAAGTATCAACATCTGACAGTCAAGATGGAAGATTATGGCAAATGCCAGCCATGATAGTCCCGAGGGGTTATCAGCACACCAGACCCCACACCAAAACCTCCTTGGAAGCAATTTGGTCTGCACGTGCTTAGGCTTACTGCAGCGGGAAATACAGCGCACAGCCATGCTGGTGTTGTGGCACAAGATCCTCCCATTTATCACATTCTTTTAGCCTGCCATTTTTTTAAATTCCTCTTTTGTAAGGTAGGAAACCGATTTACTCCAAGGATGACTCAAAGCAGGGTTCCTAAACTTAGGGTAATTTGGAGATATCCTAGGGCTAATGGTGCAATTTGTAATTTGCTCGTGAATCCAGTTTGGAGGGGGCTGCTGTTGCCAAGACGCTTGTGTAAAATAACCATCTGGGTTGTTGTACATATCATGACCAGGAAAAGGGGCAATGGGGTCAAACAGTCAAGCCTCTGCCTTAAAGAGTTTTCAAGTATTAAAGCAACAGATGGCATGCGGCCAGAACAGAAGGTTTGAGAATTTTGGAAATCACTCAACATCTTGGCGTGAGCTGCAAAACAAGGTCCAGCTATGAACAACCCCCCCCCTCCGTCCACTGGCAGGTCCTTCTGTGCTGACCACACTGGCAGGCCTGCAGGCGCCCTGGAGGGGCCCCAGGAGGGAGGCCAGGCTTGCCACTCCTGCTCTGCCCCCAGCAGCTGGAGGGAAGGAGCCTGGCTAGGAGAAACTCCCACTGCTGATCTGGGCTCCCTCCCAAGGCTTTGGGAAAGGCACGTGGCAGAGGGACTGCAAGGCTGCAAATGCTAAGTCAGGCTCTTCCCCGGGCCTGATCTCAGCAGGGATGGCACAGGGGATCCTGCTGCCTGCGGCGGATGGACTTGAGAACCTCTCTGGTCCCCTCCAAAGGGCCTCATCCAGCCAAGGCAGCTTCCCTTTGAAGGCAAGAAGCCCGGGGAGGGCTCCTTTGGGCAAGAGCCACACGAGCCAGCCAGAGGGAAGGCTACCTGCAAAAGGAACTGCCCAGAGGCTTCTCGGTATTTATCCAGCACGACTTCAGGGACAGATTCCCCATATTCAAACTGAGGGTTGTAGGCAAACGAAGACCGGAAGAATTGCTCTCGCTCTGCCTCCAGATTGGCTGGCCGCAGGGCCACCAGTAAGCAGGGGCTTCTCTTCCCGGCCCGGCATGCCCCTTCCGGAGCTCTGGCCCTGGGCAGGTGAGGGAGGGAGGCAGCGCTGCGGATCTGGCCCCGCGCCCAATCCTTTTGGTTCACCAGGCAGCTGCTCTCACTCCGGTGCATCCAGCTGCAGGGGCCCCGGAGAAGTTTCGGCAGCTTGGTCCTCCTTCCGGGCCCAGAAGAATCCGACTCCGGAGACAGAGGAGAGGACAGGAAGGGGCCCGGCTGCCCCCCGACACATGGAGGGCTCGCTTTCTTCCTCCCACCTCTCCTGGTTTGTGGGTCTGTATGGAAAACTTCGGGACGCAACGGTGGATGATAGGCCGGAGAGTCAAGCACCATCTTGTGCTTGTGTAGCCGCAGGAGGCCTCATGAAGCCAGACCTGGGATTGGGAGGATGCTGCGAACAGAGGGAAAAGAACCGTCCTCAGGCAGATTGTTTACTCTGGCTACATTCACATCTCACCAGAAACTCAAGCTGCATTAGATGCCTTCCTCCCATTTTCTCAACAACACTCCTGTGAAGAAGGCCGGCTAAGAGAGAAACTGGCCCAAAACGTCTGTGCCGAGGGGGGGGCTTCATCACTAGACTGGCTCCTAGGCTGATCCCCAGGGAGGTGGGGGGCTGCATAGTCCCCAGGGAGCTTCCCCCCCACATCTCAGCGCTTGCAGAAGAGATGCACTGCAAAAAAGCACCTGTGAGCCAGGAAGACCCAGTCCCAGGCTATAGCCTCTCCCTCGGCTGGAGGACTTGGGCACCCAGTGAAAAAGAGGAGCTGCTTGAAGGAGAACGAGGGTTTCCCTTGTGCCAGTCTGAAGTCCTCCTTCCCAGCCCTGGTTGAAATGTGCACAGGGCTGAACTTCCCCTCCCCAAGGACTGAGAGGCAGCCACGGCATCACTTGGGCCACCAAGGGTGGAACTACAGAATTGAGAGTCACCCGCATATTGATGACACCTCAACCCCTGGTGACGGAGGACCACACCCAGCGGCTTCATGCAGATGTTAAAGAGGAGTGGAGAGAGTACCAAGCTCGCAGCAGGTGACAAGGAGCAGCCGTGGGTTGGCCTCTCGCTCCCTATCAACACCAAATGGGACCGTCCTTGCAGAAAGGAGCCAAGCCAGCACGAAACTGCCCTGCCCAGTCTCAAAGCCCACAACCAGCCCAGGAAGATAGCATGGCCGAAGGTGTGGAAGGCCTTTCAGAGGCCAAGGAGAGTAAGGAGTAAGGATGGTTGCGCTTCCCCCATTCCGCTCTCGCCAGAGATCACCAACAACTGCTATTTCTGTCCCATAACCGAACCTGGATCCTGACTGGAAGGGGTCCAGAAAATCTGTTTCATCCAGGACCCTCTGAAGCTGCCAGGCCATCACCTTTTTCACAACCTTACCTAAAAAGGGGAGGCTGGAAACTGGATGAAAATTGTCCAGGCTGGTGGGTTCCAGTGATGATGGGGAGAGAAGGATACACAAAGAAGAGGGGTTCAACCTATTCTCCAAAGCGCCAGAAGGCAGGACAAGAAGCAATGGATGGAATCATTGCATAATCAAGGAGAGAAGCAACCTAGAACTAAGGAGAAATTTCCCAACAGTGAGAACAATTAACCACAGTTTCATTTGCCTCACTGGAAAAAACAGATGCAGAATCTCTGGGTTCTGCCTTCTCAACATCACCTCACCCCTTTCAGCAGACCTGCACTGTCTTTGACTTTCTAACATACTGAAGGTCATTTTAATACATACGTACATACATACGTACATGTAGTGCGGTATATATTGGTATATGTAGCAGATAAATATGGAGAAGGGCCTGGAAGACTGGAGAACAGCTCACCTCATCCCCGTCTCAAAAAGAAGACAAAGGAGGACCTGGGAGACCCCCCCCAACTTGATTTTTGTACTCCGCAAGGTCTTCAAACAATCCATTGACACCATGTTTGTGAGCACTCGGATAAGCATGTTAGAACCGATAGGAGCCAGCATGGATACCTTGCAAATAAATTGTGCCAGAATATCCTTATCTATTTTAACAGTGTGTCAAGCTTAGAAGACGGAAGGAATGTCTGCACCCAAAGAGGGCCTGCTTCACCTTGGAAGGGATTACCAAGGGACACGGCCCGGCCCAAGAGTGCCAGTTGATAGGGCACAAATACTTGCTATAACAGCTAGAAGAAGCTTAAATGCTTGTGTTGGTCTGCTTAATTTAAGCTGATCTATCCTGCCTTTTAAAACACAACTTTTCCAGCCTCTCTCACCCCCCCCAAGAAAAATGGGGGAAAGGAAGCCTCAGAGGGCAGGGGCTTGGACAGCCATCCAGGGTCAACCTCTCCGCCGTCTCCATGGGGGGGAGGGGCAGGGGGCTCCTGGCTAGGCTTGACTGCCCACCTGCTTGGTGCTGCGCTTGGCCCCAGCTGGGCTGGCCTTGGAACCAGAATGCCAGCCTTGGGAGCTTTGGGGCTGCTCAGGAAGGCTGTGCTTATGCCATCATAATGGCCGAGGTGGGGGGGGGGACACAGCACCAGGCCTGCAGCAGCTCTGCAGCCCCCAAAGCCCCTGCTGCACCACCCCGTTGCCCCACAGAGGCCCTTGCCCTCCGACGCCAGCACGGGCTCTGCGGCGCTTCGGATGGCCGCCCGCAGCCCGACCCCCAGGAGCGGGACCAGGCGGCCCGGCTGCAGCGTCGCTCCCGGCTGCGGAGCCCAGGCGGAGGACGATGCCCGCTCCCACCTCCGGGCCCCGCCCGCCCTCGCTCTACCACAGGCCGAAAGCGCGCCGATCGCGGCCGGGGTGGCTTCCTTCGGCCGCCTCCTTCCTTCTGCCGCCGCCCGGCCCGGAGCCGCCTGGAAGCCGCGCAGGGCTGAGCGCCAGCCTCGCCCGACCCACCTGTCCCGCGCCGCGTCCCTTCAAGCCTGCCCGGCGGCCCCGGCGCGGAGAGGGGCGCGGAGCTGCGGGCTGCGCGGGGGCTCCTGCCGGCCACGCCCGCGCTCCGCAGAGGGTCTCGCCC